CGTTAGTAGATAAAACCACAAACTGAAAAGGCAAAAAAGGGAAGCAATATCAAAACTACAGGAGACTATTGCTAGTAACAAGCAGTTCTGCCTTCCTTTTCTCCTTGTGTTCTCAGAAATAGCAGCTACAGGTGGCCTGTGGAGTTGGAGCCTATGTCTGTTCTCGTCTGAAAGAACCTGGAGCCAAACTGAAAAATGACCAATTTGTACATCTTTTCAGCATAGTGCATTAGTTTGGAGGACATTTATGACGCAATAATGCTTTAAGCATTATTAAAGCTGTTGTATGAAATAACTTGAAAAGTTATCATTAAAAATGGCATGATTTTAGAATTTTTAGAGGATAGATAGTGCTGTATTTTCAGCACAGAAAAGAACTTCTTGCTGTATCGTTGCTACACTGCACTGCAGTTGGCCTTGGGGCTGCTTCTGAGAAGGCGAACAGTTAAAGTTTAACATCACATCCTGTTGGTCTGCTGTTTCTTTCATATGATTTGGAGCTGACAGATAGCAGAGGCAGCTAATCATTAACAGTTCCTTCAACCTCCAAGTTCAGTTTTGCTTCTGGAATTAGCTGGAATGTTCCCTTGCACCTAGTTGTAAGGGCAAAGGCATTTGTTTAATGATTTAGCTTGTATTTGCTTCCCAAAGAGAACATACTTCTAGAAGGATTGTCTCCTCCTAATCAGTGCAGCGCTGGGCATCTTCCTACTGGATTGTGTTGTTCACAACTGAGAATCCTGTCTGTATTCCCCAAACCTTAACATTTTGCCACATTTATTTCAGCACAGGCCGCATGGACTTGAAGCTGGTCTGACTGTTTCCTACTGCATGTTACTCTGCCTTAAGCCAGGCCTGTTTGCTATGGTTTACGTCTCTTCATCTTTGAGGGGTAGAAGTAGGTTTTGTGCATCGCATAACAAACTGCTTACTGCTTTTAGGGTATCAGTGACTAAACCATAAAATTTCACATCGACATCAAGCAAATAGATACAGATACTAATGTAGAAATCACAGAATCACAGAACTGTAGGGATTGAAATGGACCTCAAGAGATCATAGAGTCCAACTCCCCTACTAAAGCAGGTACCCTACAATAGGTTGCACAGGTAGGTGTCCAGATGGCTCTTGAGTATCTCCATAGAAGGAGACCCCACAACCTCTTTGGGCAAACTGTTCCAGTGCTCTGCTGCCTTATGTAAAGAAGCAGCTAGCAGTTAACATGCAATCTTTATTGATCTATTAAAGGTCACTTCTGCTGAGGAAGCAAAATGTTGTTTAGTAGCTGATGGGCAGCATACTGTCCTCCTCAAACATATGCTCTGCATAAGCCAGAACACTGCCTCGTGTTTCTAGTGCACCATATGTGGTAATGAAGAGTTGCAGTTGCATTTGCTTTGAAGAGCAAATGAGCGTCTTGCACAGGCACGCCTGCATGCCATTCACAGCATACATGTACAACATCAATTTCTGGCCCTGAACTAAAATACAGATAGTGTTCTCTTTGCTTGGTCTGAAATCTGTGGAAAGACTTTACAAATCTCTGCTCTATGTTTAATTTTGGATAAGCTGTCTGATATAATTAATACTTACTCTTTTCCTGTTCCGAGGATTTTTTTTCCATAAACAAGAATTTGCTGTAGAACTACTTCAGTCATTTTCAAAAGCATGTGTGGTACAGCATCTGTTCCTGGAATCTCTTATCCTCTGCTCAGTAATTCCATCAATAGTTGATGGAATTTTCATTGTTCGTTGCAGGGAGAAAAAGTCGGTCTTATGGACCACCTGCCAGGAAAAGATGAATCTTTTTGTATGGTGAAGGGCTTATGTTTTTTTTCCTTTGCCATCGACTAATGTCGATGAGAGAACTCTTAGTATTAAAGATGTGTTTTTGCCCATGCTGTGCAGAGGATTAATTTATTAGTAGCAACAGAATCTGCTCATAAAAGTGAAGCACAATTATGTATTTCCATGTGCATAAGAGTATTTTAAAACATCCTCTTTTGAAACATTGTACTATGTGCCTTAAATTGCCACCCTCCTTGGTATCCCCTGCTGTTTGGGTGGCTGAAGTGGCAGTGTTTTTTTATTTTTGTTGTTTTTCCCTATGCTGTTGTCATGTATTAAAAATGTGAGGAGTTGCACCTTCGAGTTCTGCAGGATAGTTTGAGATCTTGCATTTTCGTGGCTCATTGAAAGGATTTGTGTCACACAGAGAAATTGGAAGAAATGATCTAAGAACATATAGCAGAATACTCAAATAATAGTTGTTGATCTTGCTGAAAGCCTGCTGAAGGACAGAGCTTAAACATATATTTCAGTCTCTGAAAGGAAAAGAACAAATAATTGCTGGAGCTGAAGAAACACAGGTAGTCTTGTTCTGAAGTCTTTGCTCTGTCTTCTGTGAAATTGGCTGCCAGAACAAATGTGGGCGCACTGGCTGATGTTTAATACTGATGTAATGGCGAGTGCATGGTGTCTGGGATTGTCTCATTTGGAAAGGTGCTTTTTTTTGCCCCCAACAGGTAGTTTTCAGTGCCTGAATGTTTAGAACAATGAAGCTTGCTCCAGAACTTTGTTGGGATGTGTAATGAACTCATTCCAAATAACCTAACGCAATCACACTCATTTAATATCTTATTTTGCGCTGGAAAAAAAATCTTATTTCTATTAAGATTCCTCACTTTTGGAAGTAAAAGACCCTTCTGCAATGTTACAAGCTATTTGTTTTTCAGCTTTTAGCTGTGAAAATAAGCTTGCTCAATATCCACTTGCGTTCCCACTTGCAATCTGCAGTGCCATGTAGTGAAACTGTTCAGGAGGATTTTATTTCTTTCTATTCCTAAAAAAATTAAGGATTCTACAAGCATGTACACTAAATATAGGAAAAATAATTTGATCAAGTGGAGGAATTTCATAGTAAACTTTGAGCACTGAGTTCTGTCTTTCCTGGAGATTGGAAATGGTCATTTTCTTGATGCTTACCTTTCTCTTTATCATTCTGCCTCATGTAGAGTCAGATACAATCTAATTTAATGCTTCATCTTTTATTCTGTTTCACTGAAGATAACATTGCAATTAATATCCACTTTAACTTTTGTTGTTTCTAGAGATGTACCCAAACCTACTGGTGGGTGAGGAGTTTTTCCTTCTTCCTCAGCTTTGACACTTGTCTCGCTCCAATTTATAGGAGGGAGAGGAGGTTCTTTTATTATCTGTATACCCAGTGTGAGATTAAGAAGCAACGGTTCAAATGTTGGTCCGACCAGTTTATTACAAATCTTAATCAGGGAAATGGGGAAGGGGAGGACGGACACTATTATGAATTAGGGTAATGGGGGAAGGGAAGGAGGGCGATAGAAAAGATAGAAAAGAAGAAGCAAGGGATCTTTATAGGCAGCAAGAGGGAGATAGTCACCACCATGGATCCAGCGAGGTTCGTAGTTCCGTCTTTGATCCTCAGTAGTGGTGGGTCGTCAGGCAGAGTTGTCCTGTTGCCAACGACGACGACGACCATGGTGATGAAGGCCCTTTTTCAATGCTTCAAAGTGGTTGAGTCAGCTATCTTTGGAGTGACAGCTCAAATCCAAAGTGGTCGAATCAGCTCTCCTTTGAGTGACAGCTCAAACCTAAGGTGGTTGAGTCAGCTGTTTTCCTTGCGGTGGCAGCTTCTGGCTCTGGGATCTCAGCAGGAACCTCCTTTGTTCTTATCTTTCTGGCCTTGCCAGCAGATAAGAGGAAGCAGGGAGGCACCAACTTGCATCTTGCCTTCGCAAGATACAATGGTATCATCCCCCAGCCTTCCATTCTTAGCTGGAGCGGTTTGGCCACAGGCCAGATCTTCCGCCAGTGAACACTGCTGAGCACTCTCTTCTGCTCTTCTACAGAGCAAGCAGCTCTGGGGGAAGGGGCTTGCAAATGCTCCCAAAGCGATATCGATTGTCACACAGTTAGCACCCATCAGTTGCCTCCTTGACAAGTCACTCAGAGTCTTATCACAAGAAAAACCTCAGGAAGCAAGCTTTGAGCCAAAAAAAAAACAAGGAAGGATTCTCACAACACTGTTTCTCCATGAGAAATTGATGCTTACACACTAAGCATTATTTTCCTTAGTAGTGATTCAATAGATTTTATTCAAAGTGACTAATAGTGGTAGCTTTTGTCAGATACTATATTCTGCAATGATATCCTGAGGTGCCAGTAACTACTTTAACCAGGGAATTAAATCCCTGCATTTCAAATAGTCTCTCTAGTGGTGGGATTTACTGTGGCTGCCTGGTGCTTGATCTGCGTGTGTTCTCCCTTGGATAGGGTTTAAGCAGTGGTTCTCTTGCACACTGGAAGCACACGTGTGTTATGTGAAGCTCAGTTTGATCCTACACAGTCTGCAGGGCTGACCTTTCATTCCTCTTCAGGTATTTCCTAATAAAATGATGGAGCTGGGCATGAATGTGGCTTCTGTATTCCCTTAAGAGCATCTTTAAGGCTCTGAAGGTGCCATAGACTGTGTGAGTGAAACTACCCTCCATGCTGTGTCTGCCAGTTCTGTTGCAGACTGTGACATGCACCAATGACTGCTGAAAAAGATTGCCTCCCAGCTTCCCAAGACTTGTGCCCTCTGGGACTATGGGCAGGCTGCTGAGCTTGCCTACCCTGGGTTCCCAGCTGGCAAGCTGCAGTCATTTATCACTTTTGTCAGTCATAAGAATGTTGAGGGTTAATCTGCACATGCTGTATCTGCGTAGTGTCTTTAGAGCGTCAAGGCAATAATGTATAATTGTAATTTTATTATTAATATTGGTTATTTCATTAAAGTGTAATTTTCAAGCAATGTTCATGTTGATTAAACTCATTTTGTCAATGAGCTGGCATCCTTCCAGCAGCATTATCTCGGTTCAAAATCTTTGTCTAATAGTGTGGCCTAAACATGTAGATAGATAGCTCTGAAAAGAAAATAACAAATGCCTAAAGAAACCCATCCTTTCTTGTTTTTAATCTAGACTGTGGACATCCATAAAGAAAAGGTTGCTCGCAGAGAGATAGGCATTTTGACGACCAATAAGAACACATCAAGAACTCACAAAATTATAGCGCCAGCGAACATGGAGCGTCCTGTAAGGTATATTCGAAAACCTATAGACTACACGGTGCTGGATGATGTTGGCCATGGCGTAAAGGTAAGAACACCTGAACACATGAGAACTCCAAGTAGTACAGACCAGGAGATAAGGTTAGGCAGAATGACCTTAAAATGTTGCTCTCATTTGTGTTAGGGAGTACTGTGGGTTAGACATGCTCCCACATACAAACATTTTAATAATAGAATTAGTTGTTTTATGAAGATTTTTATTATTATTGTTAATTATTTAAGCAGTGTTTGCCGTAACTTTGTGACTAGCAGTGGTAGTCAGGGTCTGAAAGTAATGGCTTATGATCTTAGCCTGACTTTCAGAAAAGCCATGACTAAATTCTAAAATTCGGAATACTTTCTTGCCTAATTAACTTTTCTGTCACTCCCTTTATTTCTTTAACTTTTAAGAAAAAATCAGTCATCTGTTGCAGGGAAGCAGGCTAATTGTTTTCTTTTATTATTTTTTTTTTATTTTTGGAGGGTATGGAATGAGAGACGGGCTGGTAGGAGCAGGATTAGCTAGTTGGCATTGAAGTCTCAGTGGCTCTTAACATCTCCCTCTCATTTGTGCTTTTGGGCAGCCTGTTTTGCCTCTCTGAATAAAAAGCCTTTGTAAATTTTGTCCACTGCTGCTGAAGTGGTTATGGGTAAAATGAATTTAACACCCTTTCTCCCTGGCTATCTTTTTATAGCAGATAATAACTTTGTATACTCCCCAGAGCAGGCCTTCAGGTGTATTCTGTTTACAGTACTTCTCTTGAATAGTATTAAAAAGCTTTTATTCACAATCTGTGTATCCTCTACAGCCTGATGTCCTCTGGTCAGAGCAGCTAGAGCAGCCCTTCATGAGCCCTTTGGCTGAGCTCTCAAGGAACAGATATTTCAGAATTAATACAAAAGAGTACCGAAGGTGCATTGTAGTAACTCTGTGAATGCCCAGAGAAGTCTGATTCCAACACAAGCTGGAATGCATATCTATACCATGACTGCTCCAGGATATGAATTAACATAGTGGCTTTTAGCTACCTGATTTATTTTTTTACACTTTCTGGCAATCAAACCTGTATCTAAACCTGTACTAATCTTGTAACTTTTAGGGTTGCTTTACACTTGTTATTTGAGGCAGGCTGGGTGGAGCCTGTCCTGTGTAGAAACATGAAAGATTAGCCCTGAATTACTGCAAAATAGAAACACTGGGGGCAAAGAAACTGTTGATTTTTCTGCATGCATACAAGGAGAGAGCTCTATGAATACAGAATGCGGGAATTGACAAATTCAATGTCAAGATACTGGTTTCTGCATTTAAGTGCTCCAGGAGTCAGATGCTGCAGAAGGCATTTTTAAAAGCAGAATAATTATTGTTAGTCCTTGAAGTTAGTGCTTTGCTACACTGACCCAAAACTAGTTGCTGAGTCTCTAAATGCTAAAGTTAGCTGTAGCAGTTGCATTTTCTAGTATAGTCATGTTCTTAAGAGTACGAGTGTCTTTACAGTTGTGACCCTTTTTATTGAAGGAGTGAAAAAGAGATGCCAACTACCTGTTTTTAGACAGCTCTTCTTAATGAAGATTTATTTTTTTTAAACTGCATCTGGTTTAATCTAGAATAACAAACTGCATCTGTTTCGAGGTAAAATAGCATCCAGTAATAACCAAATTAGCAGCATTATTAAGTTGGCTACAAACTACATCTGGCTATCGTTTCTTCGAGCAATATGCCTGTTTTATGACTGTGGAAAGCATGAAACTCTAAGTAGAAAGGTGATATTGCTGTTCAGTATGTAGACTTTTTACGCAAGTGAAATAAGCTGCTGGGTCATTCTCAGGTAGATATTGAAGGCATCTGTCGTACTTTTGACACCTTCATCAGTATTGACCTTCAGTGGATGCATTGTGAGAAGATTTGGCTAAGACAGGAAATGATGTAATTACATGTGTTTAGCCAACATTTCACTGGGTTTCCTGGAGTGTGATGCAGATCACAGCTATCACGGAGTTATCTCTAGATCTATCTGTGTCTGTGACAGGGGAACAACAGGCTCACAGCTCCACCAGCATGGAAAAGAAAAGGAGAAAAGGAGAAGAGTAGGGAGATGGAAACTGGGCCTTAAAACAGAACAATGGCAATGATCTGAGGAGGAAAGTTAGTTTACTAAATATGATATCAGAACACTAGATAACACACTGTACAATATATAATTGGAATTGAGGCTAATAAATCAAATAAAATGAGAGAGAGTGTCCGAAACCAAAGGCTTTGCTCTGAATTGAAGGCGAAATGGCTGGAGAGCACAGCCACACACTGCCAGGCAGTGAGAGAGTCCCATGACTTGCCAGCTTTATCTTCTCCTCTGAACACAAAGTCCTCTGGGGTTTGTAGCTCTTCTCTTCCAAGAGCCAGGTATTTGGAAAATCAGTGGTCCATGGAAATGAGGCATTAACTCTTTAACTCCCTGTTAAAGAGGTTAAATGGCTGTTCCACTCCTTACCTTTCCTTTTGAAGGGTCCCGTATGGATGAAATGTCCATAAGGAGGAAAGCTGCCTTTTTTTTTTTTTTTTTTTTTTTTTTTAATATATATGCCTATGAAGTCAGGTCTAACGTGAGTCAAAATGGGGAGGACTTTCCCTTACTAGACAAACACTTCGTGTAGATGGCCTCAGGAAACACACAGACCATCATTTTTGCCAGTCCCCTGAGTACTTGCTCAGTTGTCACCCTCTGGGGATAGGGGAACGTAGCTGAAGTCATTCTTGGTGAATAAGAGTAACAGTTGTGAAGTGAGAGCCCACCTTCCTGTGTAGAGAGCTTGGTTTGAATTATTAGGCAGAGGTTACTTTAACATTTCCTTCCTTCTTTTCCCCTTCGTTTGTCAAAGGAGGGTGGGAGGGGGGAAGTAATGTGCCAGCAAATAAATAGGTCAAATACAATTACACATACAAAACATCCCCAGTTTAAGAGGGGAGGAGGAGGAGGAAGCTTCAAAAATGCCTTGAAAGCCCTGGAGTTGGCTTTAGAATTTGTTGCAATTTTTTTTTTTTTAATAGATGGCAGATGGAATTGCAGAAAAGTAGGAAGTTGAAATGATTGCCTTGTGGTGAAGGAGATGGTGTGGAATACATGTGAAATTTAAATGTCTAATAGTTTTAATGAGAACAAATTTGCAGTATGCAGCAAACAGTTCTAAAACTGTCTTAAACTATGTCTGAAGATTGATCACTTTTCAGCTGCTTGGAGAAAAGTTCTGAATTTCCTTGTTTTAAAGTACAAGTATTTCACTACACCACAGCTGTAAGAAGCTTTCAAGACCACAAGTCAGATGGAATCTAAGCACTAAAAAGTATTAATTAGGAAAATGAAGGTTGAAAGGAGCCCTTTAAAGTAGGGATGGGACCAGAAGTGTGCTTGCGACAAGGACTCTGCTCTCACCCTTGCCATGCTTTTGCTCTAGTCAGTTGGTGTCTGTGTACTTAGTGCTGTCTGTGCAAGATGAGAATGCAGATGAGGAGCTGGTGTGAGGGTGGAAGGCTACCTAGACATGCCTGCTATCCCTGTAGGATACAACTTGATGTGCTGGCTACTTGAGTATTAACTTTTAAATAATTCACTGTAATAAAAATTAAGCGAGCCAGAGATCCTGAACCTGTGCCTCTGTCTTTGTTCCTGCATTAGCTTATGTTGAATGCTCTTGCTTCAAAGGACACAGTTTCATTAATGTCGCAGCATCACTTGGGGGTCATGGCCAAACAGTGAATATTGCTGCAGGGTAGAGAACCTTCTCTGGGGAGGAAAAACAACCCTCGCTGCTGCCAGCTCTCTTGCCTGTTGTGAGTGTTGATGGCAAGTGCTTTTCACAGGGCATTTGCTACTGAAAGTTAGAAGTGTGTGTGATGTCATCTGGTATAACACAGGTTTGAAGACTTTCTGGCTGCAAAGAAAACTCAGCATTTTTGTGATCTATCTATTTTCTAATTTGAATTTTTTTTTTTTTTTTTTTTTTTGTTAGCCTTATTTTATTGTAGCTATTAAATATTATTAACTAAAAGAATTTGGAAAGGTTGAAGTGTTTCAGAACAGAAATCTGATGCATCTTCCTCTGACCAAGGCTACTGATAAGTGCTGAGGGAATGATACTACATTTGCCCATCATCCACAGTTTCTGTATCTTAACAGCAGCTTAATATGTGAAAACATTTTAAAGTTAAATGACTTTGGAAACTTAAAAAAAAAAAAAAAAAAAAAAAAAAAAAAAAGGAAAGAAGAGAAGTGAAGCAATAGTGACAAGCTACATCTGATTACTGTTAAAAGAAAGCAATGTAAATGTAATTACTGAGTTGGCAGTAATAGCAGGAGATGTTACAGTTAAAGATAAAACTTTGTTGCAGAAACTTTACCTACACATGTTGTGTTTTGTAAGAAATATTGATTTGGAGCCTAAGTTCTTGCCACATAGCTGCCATACAGTAGACTGTAACAAAATAAAGATCAAATAAGCCTTCTCAACTGTTCCAGTAAGGAAAGTGAGACACAGTAATGATTTCTTTAAAAACAGCACAGAGCTGGTGGAAGAAGCGTGTTTCCCTCAGTGTCTGACACCCACATACAGGGTGCCTTCTGAAAAACAGCTTTGATTGCAGACGCCCTTCTCCCTAAGTCCCTGTCTTCATTTCTCTGTGGAAACTGTGTCCTAGACTGGTTCTTACTGCATTCTTTCCTCACATATCCCATCTGTTCGTGTACAAATGCCTTTCCTGCTGCTCTTCCTGCTCCCATTGTGTCACCTTGCCGTAGTCCAAACCCAGACCTGCTCCACTGACAAGACAGGAGGCGATCCCTGTGCAAAACCAGTGAGGATGCCTATGGGCCAATTGGATTGCCTGGCTGCAGATACACATTAGCACTTCAGATGGCATTAGGGCCAGCTGCCTTGCTCCTATGGTTGTCTCAGATAATTCTCTCCTGACTAATACCAGGAAAACCTTTTTTAAACAGAAAGGGAGGTTGGCTAGAAGTCATCAAGAGCAACTGTACTTTTCTTTTGCGGTTAATGACTGATTACTGGTCAAAGGTAATGACAGATCTAAGGATGGTTATTGCTTTTACAGAATGTACGTATTACAGTTCTGAGTTTCCCATACACTTTCTATTGATGCAGATTAGGCTAACAGCAGTTTTTAAACTTGTGTTTCCATTGGACAGCAATTGAAATCGATAGTCTTTAAGGACTGCAGGATACAGAGTGAAATTTGCTCTTAAATTTCACAACTTGGAGAAATATTAACCACATACAGTAGGGGAAGTGCTGCCAACCTGCACAGAGATTTAAAGTTGCTACAATCTAAATTGAGGAATTCATAGCTGAAATGAATAGGAAAAGCTGCCTGGACTTCAGTGTGGGGAAAATTGCTCTGCTGTGTAGAACTGGATTTTGGTATTTCCATGGTTTCAGATGGATGTGCTCCCATAAATGAGTTTCGCACAGTGTCAATAGACCTAGCTTTCCATACACAACTTTTAACTCAAGTAATAGCTTTCTGGTTCCCTGAATCATGACTAATGTTCCCCCATGACTTGTTGCTTGGCATGGAAATTATTAAATGTTCTTCCAATGGCTGCCCCCAGTGGCCAGGAGCGGAGTCCTTCAGAAACCCGGATGTCCTTTGGCTACCAGTAGATACTTCTGGTTGTCTCAGACACCACTCATCCATGCCAGCCATGAATCTTCTGCCACTCACAGCCTTGTCCCTTTGTTCACATACAGCAGAGCCCTGCAATGCTGTCTCTGTCTGAACTTATTTTTCTGCTGTTTAGATGGTCGGAACCGAGCAGGCTGGAATTGCTGAAACTGCTGCCTTAAGCAACATAGGCACTAACTTAAAGTCATTGCTTAGCTGTTCCAAAATATTGTTTGCTCTGTCCAAACAAGAAGTCCAAACTTGAAAACTCAGTCTGAGTGCTCTGAAGTCCCTTCAAAAGTTACAGAAGCAGCCATACCTTTGGCTGTGATAAATGCTTCGTATGACTTGTAAACACCTGCTTGTTGAAGAATATTGCTTGAAGAACATTACTTCTTTCCAGCCTGGTGCTGGCTGTCAGTCCGTGGTCAGCCTGTTGTCTCTTACTAAAGCCCTGTGGGTCTAACACTGCACTAGCTGTCATCCTTTGGAAGTGCAGGGAGGTTGGCTCCTGTTTCTTGAACCTGAAACTATGGTTTCTGTCTCTTAATTCTGTGTCAGCCCTTCAAACTGTATCCATGTACTTTGCACATTTTTCCAAGAAAAGCAAGACTCTGTTCTCATTTTTAAAACACCTCTCTGCTATGATGCTTGCAAAAAACCCCAACCAGTAGTGCTGCTTAGCATGCTGTTTTATTCTGGGAGCATCCTAATCTGTGTGGTTCTGCACTTTGACATCAAAAATGTCTCCAGCAATCCTGTGCACTGTGCTGTTGTTCTGATGTGTCTAGAATACGGGAGGCTGTCTGCCATGTGTACAGTAACACAACTAGCAGGAGCAGAGAGTCATGCTCATTACATCTCTGCAGGAGTTTTCAGTGCATGCCAAGAACTCAGTGCTGCTCTTTGTTTCACTTAGCTTTTCTGAAACCTTTTGCACCTCCTATCTCTTCATTTACAGATTCTCCTCCATATAGGCTTCCCTCTTTAAGCCGTGAACCTTGTGCACCACTGCCTTTTCCTTATGCCCTACGTTTCCTTCCTTCCTGACTCCAACCTTCCACTGCTGATGAGTCAGTCAGTCCTGGTGGGCATGCTCTGCCACCTGGCCTGGCAGCAGTTGGAGAGATGCTTGAACCTATGCTAAACATATACCTGCTTTCCCCTTTGGTTTCCTGCTGTTTTCCCCTCCCCTCCCCTTTTTAAGGCTATATTGATGCCAGACTGCTGCTTAAACTGTTCCCAGCTCAAAGCAATTTTTGGAATTGTTTAGATAGCACTAAATTCGGCTTTCAGACTTAAGAAATGCAGCATGATTGACCTCATAAGATCAGCCAATAAATACAAGAAAATGTCTCCTAATTAATTAGCTTACTAACCATGATTAAACAGCCATATGGCTCATCTCCCTTTGATTCATCTGCGTTCCTGCCATACTTCTGTCTTTTGGATCCAGAGTTCCTCTCCTGTAAGAATCCTCACTCTCTTTCTGTTCCTTCCTTCTGTGTTTTCCTGTCCATATGACTCCTGTTTACATTAACAACAGCACAGGGGACATGCACAGAGCTTTTCACTTAATGAAAGCAGAATGACAGCAGCCATCAACTCTTCTGCATAATGAAGAGATATGTGCGTGTTTGTAGATCTGAACATTGGTTCATGTAACATAGTTGGTACTGAAGGAGATGAAGGTCACCTGGTGAAGTCGTAGCAATAGAGATAAAGGTCAAGAGCTGCTGGACTTTGGATGCATTCAGCATGTTGAACAGTGCTTAGCAGCAAGCAGGTTTGAGATGAGATGAAAGACTCCTGATTCAGTTCTTCATGAGGATACTCTGTTGCTGCAGTGGGGGCAGAATGTAATAGTGATTAAGGAGGGGGTGGGAAGACAAAGGGAAGGAAAGAGAGGAAGCTTTTTGTCTTTAAATTTCTGAAGCAGGCAAATTTATTGATAGAGTCTGGGTAAGAAACCATGCCACCCTTCCTTTTAAGCCTTTAAAAGGTTTCTGTCTATAGCTGCTAGTATGGGGGCATGGGGAACAGAACAACAGTTTCACTTTTTGGTCTCTATTTGTGTTATGCCATTGCCCTTGGCAACTGGTTGAGTAAGGGGAGGGTTCCTCCTATGAGAGGGGAAAGCTAAAAGCTTGTTTTAAAAATATAGTGCTTGGGAGACTACCCTGGCATCATGGAAATTGAGCGTTGTGTTTATCCATGAAATAAATGTGGTGGGGACAGATGTGGTTCAAATGCCTTCATTCTGTTACCCTGCTGATGAACCTCAGCCCAGACTGAGAGTGAACAGGATGGCCTTCAAATTTACTTACCTCAGCTAAGCTTTTTCATTTGAATTTTGGAATGGGCTTTGTGTTTTTGTGATATGAATAACTTCAGGGCACAGGCTTTCAACGTTTTGATTTTTAAACCCCAGCTGTTTCTCAGTGGTTGGGCAGACCCTGTCAGAAGTGTCACACATCTGCATTGCTGTATTGCATATTTTAATTATTTTTTCAAGGATGATGAACACCTTTAAGTTGGTCTGTGGCTCTTGGTCTGGAAATGACAATTTATTTCCAGATAACCTTAAAAACAGTACTGGGATTGTTTTATGTTTTGGGGCTGCTGAGAATTTTTTGAAAGTAAGGAAACTATTGCTTGTCTACATTCAAAATGATGAATTCCCACCCCCTCAATAAAATTAAAGAGCTCACCTTGGATTTAAAAAAAAAAAAATTACATTAGTTTTCTTTATAGAATTATGAAGCCAAGCTGTCACAATTTTTTTCTCTGCAGTCACGAAGGCTGTAAAAATAATACAGTGGAGTCACATAATGACTTGGTTCTAGGAGCTGAAATTTCAGCATGACAATCATTAGAGCACTGCCAACACCGTTTTGAGCAGCCAGCGCAGTGCTGGCTTGAATCAGGTTTCAATCAATAAACCAGAGGTGAAAGGCTCTGCTGCTCATCCTGTCTGAAAACTCACTTTTCTTTGTTTACCATTCAAAGCAGCAGCTAGAATTTCTTCAAAACACACGAAGGTTAAGTGTCAAAACAACGGGCAAGTCCACTCTGTGCCGTATAGCTGCAACTGTGCTTTTGTGAACAAATTCTTAAGTGCGTGTTGCCATTGAAATAGCATTGATTTGGTTTTGGACTTGAACAGTCAGCAAAGGGCTCTTCAACCCTTTACTGCCCGTGAGGAGCCTGGCAAACAGACCTGGCAAAGCTCAGCTAAGCTTCGTTTTGTCACAAGTGGTTTTTCTCTGGATGTTGCTTAGTCATGGAACATTCTGCTGCGTGACAGCATGAGCCAGTAACATCTGTGGTAGTGTACTGGGATGTAGCTAAGTATCAGTAGACTCAGATTATATTTTTAAATGTGATTATCTGTAGTTTAACCTGTCCTGTCAGTTGTGATGGATCTGCCATTAATTTCTCCCTTTTTCCCCCTTTTTTTGCCAACGTTAAGTGGCTAAAAGCCAAGGTAAGAAGTGTTATTTCTCCTTTGCCCCACAGTGCCTCATGTGACTGATAGTAGAGGCTGCAGAGCCATTAAAACTGAAAACTAGCGCGCTCTTACGCTCTCCTCTGCTTTCCATAGGATATTTAGATTAAACATGCTGTACTTGAATGTTTTGTTGTTTTCAGCGTTTAGCCTGTCAATATATCTGCGATACATTGACATCTGCATTTACACATAGACGATTAATTTCTCTAACACATGTAGTGCTTCGCTCTGAATTCAGTAGATGCCTCAATTCCCCTCACTTACATTTTTTTTGCAGGAGACTTCCCAGACAATCTGAATGACTCTGCTAGTCAAATAGCAGGGCCGAGCTGAGCCATCCTGGGCCTGCGCTGACTGTATTGTACTGTCAGCATTAAAGTTGGGTTGAAATTATTGACACTCCAACTGAGATGAACACAAATGTGGCTTCCCCTTAAAGAAAAGAGAGAAACGAGAGATTTGTGCATGAAACTGTCAGTTGCCTAGCTTTCTGATGTCTGTTGTACATTAATAGCAAAAATAACATTAAGCTTGTATTTGAACTCTTTGTATATACTATTGTCTGTCTTGTGTGTAGCTAAAAACTTGCTGTTTGACAGCTGTCTGGGAATTCTCGCTTTATAATCTTACACTTTAAAAAAAAGCAAAACCTGTCAATAATAGGCTGCTCCGTTATAAAAATAAAATCATGTTTTCCCTTATTTCAGCATGGAAATAACCAGCCTGCAAGAACTGGCACCTTGTCAAGAACAAATCCGCCTACACAGAAACCACCAAGTCCTCCCATGTCAGGCCGGGGAACTCTGGGGTAAGAATGAATAGTGCTCAGTCTTGCTTGTTGAAGACACAGCTTCAAATGTGCCAACGTCGATGTTTCTTAAATAGGTGGATAGATAGCAGGTCTGATTGCCTTTAGGAAATAACACAATTAGTTTTGCTGTGTAAACCCTTTCGGCTGCACTGCCTCTGTATTTTCATGGTGACCTTTTGAAATAACTGCTTTGCATGGGGGAGTGGGTTTATTGTAGATATGGATAAAGTAGAAGTTACTGTTATTCCTGAATTTTGGGTAGAAGTCCTGGGTAATGTGAGAGAATATCAATGAGGTTTTAACCTCAGCAAAGATTTTGTTGTTGAAGTTCTTGTCTGCTTGTTTCTCATTACAGAGATAGGAAATGGCTGTTGATAGCATGTTTATTGCATTAACTAAGCAAAATTCATTGCATCATTAACATATTGGCAACACTGATTCTCACTGACTTGTGGATTTTTATTTTTACATTTAAATGAGGAAAGATTTTGCTTTTTCTAAGCCTCCCTGTGACCAGTTCCCTACCATATCATCAATTTCTCTGCTCTGGACCTGTGGGCAATGAAATCTGCTTATCACTGTGTGCCAGCAAGTATTTGTTGGTAGGGACCAAAGCATGAATACCTGAACAGCTCAGAGCGCGTGCAGTGTGGCTTTGTCTGCTGAGAAAGCATTTGAAATAAGAACTTCTACCTGTTTGTCACACTTAGGCTTTCCTTTATGCTGTAGGTGACTGAGGCACTTTAAAGCTGGCTGCTGTGGCTGTGTCAGCTTCAGCATGTTTTCTCAGAGAGCTGGGCAGCTGGAGAAATGAGAAGTAATGCGACAGAACTGGAGAAACAGCCAAGGAAAATTAGGAGCAGCAACTGCTTTTGTCAAAGACTTAGTGATTTTTAATCCTGATTTGCTACTTTGCTGCTTCAGGATGGCAGTGTTTATTGTGTATTCCACAGAAAAATTACCCTACGGGGTTCCTCAGCATGTTTTCTGAAAATTCCCATTGCTCAAGGGCACAAAATCAGCATTCCAATTGTCTCTCTTATCCCAGCTGAGAGAGCGTTGTTGTTGTTGTTGTTGATCAGCCCGGGAAGCTGGGTAGGATTTTACATCCTCCTGGCTGCCCCCAGTGTGGCAGCAGTGCTGATGGACTGCTGAGCAGTCTCTCATACTCCCATTGCCTCAGCTGATGCCTGACAAGGATTAATCAGCCCATGTCATTTCCAGATGAGCATGACAAAAAGCAGCAGTTGACTGAGGGGAAGGAATAATGTGGCTTCCTAACACAGATTTCTATCTGCCCTTCTTGTTCAGGAAGTACAGCTCTTGTCTCGAGCAGCCATGTTCTGCCAAAGCATGAAATATCATAGGCATGACTGTTTTCCCTAATATATGCAAAAGAAAATGCTGGAAACCACAGGGATGCTGCTCTTCTCCCTTTCATCCAGAAAACAGAGATAAACGTGTAAATCAGAACGAGCTTGATGTCTAACATGAGCCCTGAAGTAGGTGTACAGCTTATCCCTCCAAGGCAAAGGCAGGGTGATCCAAAGTGATGCTGGGAAAGAGTCTTGCTCAGGAACTGCCTGAGCTGTGAAATGAATGAACAGCAGGTACAGGGGCTTTTTGGGGGCTGCTCAGGCTGGGAGCAGAGAAGAAAGCGAGTGAAGGGCTGGAGCTGGAGAAGCTGATTGGAGGGAGCAGCTGCACCAAGAGGGACGTGGAGCAGAGCATGGCCTTAGGCTACCTTTGGCTCCCCTGTGGCAGTAGGCACTGGGTGTTGGCACTGCTGTGTTAGAGAAGGGCTGCTCTCCTCTGCTGTGCAAGACTGGCAGAAAAACAGAGGGATGGGTTGGACCTGCATGGCACAAAGAAATTACTCTCTACTTCTCTGTGCATGGGAGTTTCAGTCCTTCAATGAAGCTGAGAACAAGGAGAAACCAGGATCCAGCTGAGCCTGAGGATGTAGCAGGGTTTGCTTTTGATAGGATATTGAAATTGGATGGGCAAAATGAATAGTGCTATCAAGCCAAGAGGCTGCATTTCTTACTGCCAGTGCATTCCAAGATAGAATACTTCAAAATGTTAGTTTTCAAGGTTATTTCTGTTGGAAGCACATTTTAAATCTTCTGTGCTTATTATTTCACTTGGCAATATTTAGAGCTCTATCTCTTACAACTGGAATACAGAGTCACTTTATTTTTCCCATGACTGATCTCTTTTGGCAGGTCTACAGGTGGTGGCAGTCTGCACATCAGAGTCATCTGCAGGTCTTTATATAGACAAACTAATTTACAAACACCATCATTCATACAAACAAACATGATAATTCCATTTTTCTCCTCAAGAGAGTTTTTAATAGTTCAGTTTTTAGTTAAAATTAAGTACTGTTGCATTCTACATTGTAGAAAGGAAGTAGATACATTTCTTAAAATACTGTGAAACCATATAGCTTAACAGGCTGGTTATAACCAGCAATGGAAGAAGTGATTAAATGCCAGTAGTTTACTATTTTTGTTTTTGCTTAGCTGGTGTGTTGCCAAGTTCCGTGTCTTGCAAGGGATCTCTTGGTAACTGGTGAGAACTGAAGAGCTCTGCAGCTCAGTACAATACACACACTGTTCTGAAGGCAGAAAAGGGGTGGGTAAATAGATCTCGAAAGATCCATGCTGCATTTCTGAGTTGATGCAGTCTGCTTAGTGACCTTGGAAGTCTCTGAGCTTCACTTTCTGTGTCTGTAGAATCCAGACAATGAAGCTGGTCTCTGAAGTGCTTAAAGATCTGCTTAAGTGATATGCTTGATTACAGCATGAAACAGCGCTGCTAGGAAGAGCACTGATGATTGCAAACGTAACTTGTTCTGTGAATAGTTTGGACTTACTCCTGTCTTAATGAGTTGAATACCTTCAGCCAAGAATGCTTTTAGGATGGTTAAGCATTTGGAGGGGAGAGGGAGAAAGAAGGCATTGTTAAAAGGGAAGGAATTGCTCACATGCAGTGTATTAAAAGATAACCCTGGGATATGGCACAGGTGTAACTGCTGTATGGTATGTAGTTCAAAGCATATATTTTTGGTGATGTATTTAGCTTAGGCTTTTTTAATCGGTTTGTGCTCTAGGCCAACTTGTGTGGATCTTTCTACGTAAGAGCACTTTAGAGAGTTGAAGGTGATTTCACCACCTCTCGCTGGTGAAATTTGTTTAATATACTCTAATGTGGGTCACTGTGGTCTCATGTGAAAATGTAAAACAACAAGTGGCTTCACGACTCCATGCAGTTATCCTTCTGATGTACTGATTGTTTATCTTTCTGTCTTCAAATCTTTCTCTCTTGACCAGGCGAAATACTCCTTACAAAACCCTGGAGCCAGTCAAACCGCCAACAGTCCCTAATGATTACATGACCAGTCCTGCCAGACTGGGCAGCCAGCACAGCCCGGGGAGGACAGCTTCCTTGAACCAGAGACCAAGAACACACAGGTAGAACATTTTTTCTCACTCACACTCCTTCCTGCCTGGCACGCTGCTGTTTACTGAAAGTCACAGAAAAGCTTTGAAGCTTAGTGCTCTTGGCAGCACGGACTTCATTTTCTGCGGTACTTGTTTCCCGAAAATAAGCAGAACTTCAAAATTTATGCAGTTGAGAAGTGAAGCAGTGTTGGGTCCTGGGTACTGGGTTAAAAGCTGCCTAGCTAACCTTAGTCTAAAATGTAGTTACCCTTTATAGAATAGTTTTTTTGTTGTTGTTTTCAAGTCCAGTAGTTGCAAAGGGGAATTTCTCTTGATTAAAAACACTATGATGAAAGTAGTCTGAAAAGCCAATTGCTTTCTTTTGGCTAAAACTTGTAATCAGTGCTTGCATGATAGAAGTGGAATGTAAAGCTTACTCACAAAGCAGGTATAGGCAGTACCCAATTGTTTCCACACAATCAAGGATTTTTATGAAAGAATGGTGTGTCCTGAGGTGAGAAAGGTATGGTAGTGTACTTTGTTCTCTTTTTTTTATCATGTAAATTTATTCTCAAATTGCAAGGATAGATTTTTCTTTGTGCCTCATGAGTGAGTTTAGTTTCCTCAGTTTGACAGTATCAGAACTTCTGAACTGCAGGAAAAAAAAAAACAGACAAAAGAGTTCAGCTAAAAATAAAATGGTAGTTTATTTTTCAGAGAGCTTCTGCCTTAATTTTTTTAACACCCTGTAGACAATTAAACACAGTTGGTCACTAATTAGGGATTGAAGGTATTTTGGACACGATGTTCATGAAATACTTTCAGAATTAAATAGTGTCTAAATCTGGATGCAGTGAAGATCTTGTTAACGTGTTTAGCTGGCTCCTGTAAACGCTCCCTACACTTGTCTCACAAGATCTGTATTTTGTGTAGACTACAGTTAGAAAGTCAGCTGCAACCATGGTGACGAGATCAAGGTCTTCAGCAGACAGAACACTAATTTTGAAGGAATTATCTTTGCTTCCATTTCAGATCACTGATTCTCTTTTTGTAACAGTATTATTTTCTTAAGAAATGTTTGAATGATTTGTAGCTACCCAGGATTGGTAAAGAAACTGTAAAATCACTGGGTACTTAATCATTAACGTGAATGGCTGAAAGTGGTGTGTTTTGGCTTCAAGGCATCTTGACTGCTTAGTTCCCTTTATATCATCCATTTAATCTGTGTAAATTCAAGCCTTGGCCTAAGGAATGTTCTCGAGTAAGAATAAGGACAGATGTCATCTGAACTTTGATTCCTTTTTTCATCTCTGGGTGGAAAGAGATGTTTTGGTCTCTGCAGTAGATCACTAAAAGCATGTTCTGTAAAAATCTGTATTGCTGGCCTAGGACATGAACAGTACTGAGACAAATTGCCACCTGGTTGTACTGTCATCTTATAGACTATCTTAGAAACAAACTTCTCATACACAAATTGTGTGCCTGTGTGTATGAAAAGGTGCATTGGCTATGCAGATAATTATTCCTTCCCTTCCCCTACCCAGCTTGGATAATCGCAGCTTTTCTCAGTGAAAAACTTTTTATTCTAAGCCTCTATTCGAAGTAGAGGAAAGGTTCCTTCAGCTGATAGGATAATTAATTTTGAATAATTATTTGTAGTTTAGGCATGAACTCTTCCAGCCCCCATTATTGCTTCTAATTAATACAAGGCTCTTGAACCATTCCTGCAGTTGTTAGTCCGTTGCCTAGAGTTGGTATGGTTGCTTACCTTTTTATTTTTGAAGTCATGTAATTAGACATTTTATGCATAGTGATGTTCATCAGCTTAGCTAATTCCATTTATTAGGGATGTAATGCTTCCCACATAGTTGATTAGCTATATGAGATTGTAGGTAGAGACAAGGGCTTTTTGTAGCGGATTTTTTGACTGTCTGCTGTTAGACCAGCAGAGTTCACACAAGAAACATGGCTGTTGATAGGCTTTTGTAGGAAATGTGTGCTAATACTTGTTTTTCTGTTTTTCTCTTATAGTGGCAGTAGTGGAGGTAGCGGCAGTCGAGAGAACAGCGGCAGCAGCAGTATTGGCATTCCCATTGCCGTGCCTACACCTTCGCCACCAACCATTGGGCCAGGTAGGAGGGACTCTTCCCATGTTAACTTAAGGCTTTAATATCAGTCACTTGTGTTTGTACAAGTGAATAGAAGTTTTTACCTCAAATAAAATACAAAAGATGACCTACAGAAAATTGCCAGTAGTAGAATTCAGACTTGTCAACTAGTGTCATTTATTCTGGTACAGTCTGAAGTTGCTAAACTGTGAGAGAGACCACTGACAGAAGCAGGAGAACTGGTGTGTATAGCATAGCAGTGAAAGAGAGCAATGCAGGTTTTCTCAGTGTGTACATCTGTTGAATTTGTTCCTTGGTTCACTTTCTTACACATGTGTAGGCTTTCCTTTCTATTTCCTGGTGTTTCTGATCCTGCACTGGTCCAAATAGGCATACATCTTACTATCACCTGTCATCCCATTGAAATAAATGGGAATAATGACCTGCAGGTACAGAACCCTTTGTAGGATCAGGGTCTGAGCTTGTATCAGACTAAAGTTAAATTTTTGTATTTATTTGGGAAGCCTATGAAGTGCCCTTGCTTTCTTACCTGCTTTTTAAATATGTGGCCTAATTGGGAATATAAACTATTTTATTAGCACACATTTCTGTTCCTCCTCCTCCTGGAGCCCCGCCAGCACCACCACTGCCACCACCTCTCCCGATGGGCAGTCTGATAGGTGAGACTTGTGTCAATGCTGAAGTGATTGCAGTCACGCTGCATAATCAATAATCATCTCTTCCTAATGGACTTAGTGAAGCTGTTTTTTTTTCATCTGTACTGGGCTCTACATGATTTTAACATAAAAATCAGTTCTGATGTGATTATTTTTTTTTTTTTAAACAAATCTAATCTCCGCTAACTTCCTGTGGTTAAAGCCTCTGAAGGTAAATGTACAAGGTATGGGGAAAAGCTGCTAGTTGCTTGAAATCTCCATTCCCAGTAAAGCTAAGGTTCAATCTGTTTGATCTGAAGGAGCTCAAAATCAGCTGGAACATTGCCATTCTGCTGTATCACTCTTGCAGTTGAAACTAAGCTGCTACAGTTGCATTCTCACTTAAAAATGGTAGCTGATGTGTAGGGTGATGTACGTATTCTATCCTGAGGGAAAAGGTGACTGAAAAGCAGAAGTGTCTGTCACGGTGGCTTGGGTTTGATCCTGTAATGCTGCAGGCAGATGCCAAACTGAAAGACTTTATGATACAAGCCAACAGTTCTTGAAAAAATGCTTCGAATATTACATGTTGCTGTTAGGAAAGGATTTAAAAGTAGTAAGTGTAAAACTACACAGACCTCTCCCTTTCCTATCAGAAACTGATGTCAAAATTCATAGATCTTGTTATGAAACCAGCTTTGGAGGCTTTGACCCATGTAACCCTTTGCACTTTCTCTTACTGAAGTGTTAAGTGAAAGTGACTTTGGATGGCACTACAGGACTGCAAACTACTGACCATGCACTGTGCCATGCGTGTGCGTTTTGTATATATTTTTATCTGTCTGTATAAGATATATACATATGTATTTAAAAGCACAGAACATTTTATTGCAAAACAGTTTTTACATTCAAAAACTGCAGAGTTGTGCGTTGATCCATGTGACCTCAATGTTTGAGATTCATTAGTTTGCAAGGCTTGATGCTTTCATTTATCTGTCAGAGGTGAATGCAAAAAGAGAACTTAAATTGTTTTATTAATCTTGGCTTTTGTGCAGCGAGCATGGGGAAGGTAAAAATGGGTATCCATCTTGAAGAATGAGTGACATGTCTTTCTGACAGCCGGCACTGGTGATTCTGATCTATTAGTGGTGCAAATTCCATGAATATAAAAGCATAGCTAGCAAATATGATTGGTGAATGTGCCAAGCATCTGAAGCTCGTGACATTTATTTTACTATTTTATTAGAGCATTTTTTATTATTTGATTGGAGACAAATTCTGGTTCACAATGGAGAACATTTGCTTTGAGCAGAATGTGTGATTTTTTTGTGTGCGCTTTTCAATAAAGGGTATTGCATGTAGAATTCTTGAGATATGCTTAGGAGCTGGAAGCTGATCCAAGTTTCCAGCCCCATCAGACTGTCAAAGTAGTTATCAGCATTTCTCAAATGCCCTTTATATGAATGTTCTTTTATGTCCTGTTTTCTCGTTACTGATTATAACAGGGATGTTTGTCTTCTGTTAATCTCCTGTTACTGTCTTAATTTACTGGTGATGTGTGGTCAAATAATTCCCAGGTTCTGGGCTTTTTCTGTTTTCTGCATTCTGTCCCAAGTAATGCTCTGCTCAAGTCTTTTCCTTGGTTCCTCTGGCTAATGCTTTTCAGCTGCTCCAGGTTCAGCTCCTGGTTCCCAGTATGGCACAATGACCAGGCAAATCTCGCGACACAACTCTACCACTTCTTCAGCATCTTCTGGTGGATACAGACGGAATCCTTCTGTGACTGCCCCATTTTCTGCTCAACCTCATGTTAATGGCGGGCCTCTTTATTCTCAAAATTCAAGTAAGCTTCTGAGCTCTGAAATCAAAAACTGTTTTGAGCAAAATGATTGTAAAAGCATGCATGGCATTTTAATTCATTTGTGAAGAGCATCAATAAGATTATTGCTTTCTTTCCTGAAATAGAAAGAAAAACAAATAAGAAAAACTCTGAGTTGTACAGAGATTGTACTGTATGCAATTTCACTGTTTTTCCCCTCTGAGTTGTTTGCTGTTACTCACAACGAGAAATTATGATGATTGCCTGTCTAATTATGGGCACATTATACTTAGCATTTCAGGTGTGCTTGGAAAACATAAACTAAAACCAGATTTTTTGCAGGAGACCTAATGTGGTTGTAGCACACTTCCTCCACTACTGGACCAGTGGTGAGAGGGTGCTATCGGAGCACAATGCTCATAAAACAAGCTTTTCCCATTACTCAGTATCTCCCTGTCTCTTTCTTGTTCTCAAATCCTATTTCTGTCTCCAAATTTCTCCTTTGTTCTTCACTTTAAACTTGACTGTTAGAGAAGGGACGAAGAGTTCAGTCTCTTTTCTCTTTAACAAATTGCTCCTCTATGCTTCTACACCAATAGTAGAGATGGAAATGAGTGAGCAGTGGGGTGCCCCATTCCTGGAGGCATTCAAGGCCAGGCTGGATGTGGCTCTGGGCAGCCTGGTCTGGTGGTTGGCAACCCTGCATGTAGCAGGGGGGTTGAATCTAGGATGATCATTGTGGTCCTTTTCAACCCAGCCCAGCTCTGTGATTCTGTGATTCTATGCAGTGGGCAGCTGAGCCTGGTTTTAGTCAGCAGGGTTCTGCCTAACCACAGAACACGGCAAGCAAGGTTGACTGCAGAAAGTTCCGCAAAAGAGGGATCTACTAGAATCTTGGTGGAAAGCTACGTTTAGATCAGGGACTTTTTCCTTACTGCTTTCAGTCCAAAATTATCCTTGCTGAAATTCTTCCTTACTGGAAACAACAAGGATCATTTTTACCAGATATACGTAGAGGAGTGACTGTACTCACGTGGCTTTTAGTGCTGTGCCGGCTCTAAACTACAGAGTGATATTCCTATAAAAAGAAATGTTGATGTTTGAGCTGAAGATCTCTACAGACCAGTGCTGCCTAGTAGTATACTTATTCTTAAGGAAAGAACACATAGACAGTATTTGAGACACAGGGTGAAACATTTTCTCAGTGGTTTACAAGTACAACATTAGTCCAAGAATGTCTTTCTATGCAGGCACAGTACTTACCTACTTTTTTTTTCTTCCCCATTCCTAGTTTTCAGACTGACTCTTCATTTTCTTCCACACTCTGCTTCCCAAAATTAATTGTCCATAATAACAGAAACCCCCTCCTGCTCAAACAGTTGTGTTCTGATGAATAAACAGGACTTCTGGAAATAGTCACCTTGAATGCTCTGCACACCACTATTTCTGAACATTTGGAGTTTTCCAAGGCAATTTTTTGCTCAAATGCAGGTGCTGTTCCCCAGTCCGGCATCTTTGGTGTTTTCAAAATACTGATTGTCAAAATTTTTTTGAACAGTATTTTGATGATGGGTGCGTTTTTTCTACCTTAAACTGTTTTTTTTTTCTGTTTCTGAAACTGGTGATTTTTTTAATGCTACTATCTTGACGTTAAATCTAGGTTCCACGTTTCCTTAAGGTTTTACTTCTCATGCTAACAAATATTCTGTTTTTTTCTTAGATGTTTACTTCAATTTTGTGAGAAACCTGTTTGTTGTCCCTCTTTTATTGGTTGTTTCCTTCATTCAGTTGATTTGATTATTGGTTTTGTAATGAACTAAATGCTTCATTTTTATTCATCAAACATTAATCTTAGTCATGGCTTTATTTAAAACTGTTGCTTACTTGGAAGTACAGAACCTCTTTCAAATTTGATTCCAACTGGATTATGCTGCTGAATTCCCATCTTCACAGGAATTCTCTGTTTTGATGCAAGAGAAATTCACCTGAGAAGAGGCACAGTGTAAACAAATGAGCTGATGTTCTGTTGTTCTTTTCTTTTTTGTTTGCTTTTTTCTCCCTCCTCCCCACCTTCACTGCTGTCCCACCAGCACTGGTACTTTATGTGGCACATCCTCTCTGTTGTGTGCAGAGGGGAAAGCTGAACACCTCAGCTGTCAACCTGGTGGGGCTGAGCGCTGGTTCAGTGTTTCCTGTCTCATGTCTCACTGAGCAGGGCCGTGCTTCAGGGGAAACGAGAAGCCTTTGCCACTTAACAACTTCACAGTTCTTAAGTTGCAGAGTGCCTCTAACCACAGAGGGCTTAATAACTTGAAATAAAACACCGTTCCACTCAAAACTTACCTATTTTCTTTCCAATAAGCAACAAGTTCCTTTTTATATGCAGAACAACAATGCTGTGAGCTGTCCCTTGTCCCCATCCCCAGCAAAATTACAGGAGGTGCTCTGTATGAGTACTGACATCACAGCATTGTTTCCTTTGTAAAGTTGCTGTCTTTACTCTGTGTCAGTGCTGTTTTGCTGCATTTGATGTAGCTCTCTGCTCTGATGGTAGAGGAGGAGTCCAGAATCCTCCACACCACCGCCTCCTCTTCTGGCAGCACATTTTATACAGAGAGTTCCTGGATCTGAGCAATTGTGAGCACAATGAGAAGCTCAGCACTGTGTGCTGCCTGTGCGCCCGCACTCACTCCGGGAGCTCCCTGCTGTGGGCTGCACTCTGCTTTGTGCTCAGATGGATGCGGGCAGGTTTTGCTTTTTGGGCCGTGATTGGCTAGCCACGAATTCAGCCTCGTTGGAAACACAAGCTTGAAGAAGGTTCTTCTGTGTGTGTGTTCTTGTTGTTCTTGACATATTTTGTTTTGTGGTCCTCGTTACTGACGGCTGCTTTTGTTTGTTTCCTTTTTTTTTTTTCCCCTGTGTCCGTTTGACTTTTCCCATCTGGTGTGTGCCTTGCTACCAGTTTCTATTGCTCCACCCCCTCCCCCTATGCCTCAGTTGACTCCACAGATACCTCTCACAGGCTTCGTGGCCAGGGTGCAGGAAAACAGTAAGTTTGGACAAGCTGAGCTATTAAAGGGTAGAGCCTCCTTCCTTCTAGTATGCATGGCTGGCAAGTCAGACTCTCTTTTGTTTCCTTTTCCAGAAGCTAATACCATCTTGCGTTGTAGTGTCAATATGCTATTGGAGCTGAAGGGCACACTCGTCAATATTTTATAACACGTGCATGATTATTACTGACCCATTTAAGTTCCAAACTGCAAATTTATTAGAGAAATACAGTGTGAAATATGTGGCATCTGCTTCATCTGATTGTAGAAGTGTATCTTAATTAAAATATTAATTTCATGTTGAATCATCCTGCCCGAGGCTTTTTCAGTAGGGATAATTGATTAGTTTTTATTAGAAGGCTTATGCGGAGTGTCAAAATATGTACTGTGCAATCATTGACTCCAGTACTGCGATAGTTTTTGGTGAGCCATAAAGGCAATTGAAAATGTGCACTCTTATGATCTAATGCCATTACAAAGGAGTTCCTGAGGTATTTCTCCTCTCTCCCGCCTTTCATTCTCCATTGCTTTGTGTCCTGTAGCCAGATTTCCCTACTGAGCTGCTTACGGCATAGCTCTGTGGATAGATTTGTGAGAGATGCTCCCTGGCTGTGATCTGTTTTCCACTGCTATCTCTGCTTTTACCATTATTGCTTGATTCATTTCAGGTGAGTGTTCCTATCCCTAATGCTAGTGCAGGGGTAAAGTCTTGCTCCTGCTGTGAGTTCATCTTTGTTCCAGGAGAATGTTGTTGTTTTGTAAACAAAAGAAAGAATGCAATGCAGGTAGGGCATGAAATGAGTATAATGCATTCTTAAGGCGTTTGGGAATCATGGTGGAGTCTGCTAGAATCTCAGGGACTGTTACTGTGCAGTGGTGCTCCAGGATATGCTGAGGGGCTCTCAGCACTGATCAGTGCTGCTATGCAGCTTCCCATATGAGCTTCTTAGTGCTCGTATTGTGAGTGTTTTCCCAGGTGTAAGAAGCATCTCTGTGGTTCCCATTCAGAAAGAAGGTATTTTGGTGTTATGTTAGATGAATGCTTAAGTCGTGTTTATGTAGACTAGCATGCCACAAAATTGACATGCCTTCCCAAAATGCAAAGTGTAGAGGTAGATGTACTGAAGATGAAAGGTACAAAATATCTTCACTTGCAGATAACCTTGAGAAAATTGACACCTGCTTCTGAATTGTTCCAAGTATGGTGAAAAGGGACAGACTTATTTGTCTGTCACAACGAAAATTAAAGCTGACTTGTGAATGAGATTGCAGCAGAAAATAGGTTGAAATGTGGTCTAGGAATTGTCCTGTTTATTTTCTTGCTTTAATAGTCCCTGGGGTTTGAAAGTTCTCTAATGAGTATGGTTTTGAGCTGCTGCTGCTGCCTTGTTTCAGAGGTGGGAGTGCGTGTGGCAGCTGTGCACACACTCAGCAGAACTGTCTGCAGGGGACCTTCAACTGTCTTGTTTTCTACAGCACAATCACAGGAAGTGGAGTTACAGAGACACGGGTAGGCTTGCCTCTTATGGGAAAAGCCTTTCCTTTTCATAAAGATTGTTGGGTTTGGAAAGCATCTTCTGTGCACGCTGTGGACTCCTTTCAGACTTTTTCTAGGGCAGAGGATTAGAAAATGCTCAAGGTCTGTTCTTTTTTCCTGCACCCTGTGCCCAAGCCATGGGTGTCTCCTGCAGAGAGGTTTAGCAGTGTGCCCAGGGACCAGTGACTAGCTGTCAGCTGCTGCACTCTAACACCCGTTCTGCTAAAGATGAGTCTGCAGGGCCCCACTTAATGACAGGGATGTGAACACAAGCTAGAGAAAATGCTTCAGTTTGAAGCTTTGTTAAGTCCGGTCTATGTACTGGACCCTGTGCCCTTCCTCATTTAGAGTACTTCTGTATGCCATTTTTTCCCCCTAGAAAAATTGATGCTGCTCCTGATTTTGCCTGGCTGAGTTCAGAACCAGGCAATGCGTAGGTTGCAATCCCAGAGGTGGGGACACATCCTGGGGTGACACTTGTCTGATTTTCTGTTCCGTTTTCTCCCCTTGTGTAAATGTGATGTTGAATTGTTTTACACATTTCCCATAAAACACGCACTGTGAGCACAGCATTTTGGTTAGGGTGTGTGTTGGCACTTCCACACTCACATTTCCTGCCCTCTTCTGTTCTTGTCAAATACGCATCTTCACTGTTGAATAAATACAGCCTTTATTAAGGTAAGGATTTCTTAGCATCTCAAAGGATTGTTGTTCAATACTTTTCTTTTCCTGGCTGTAGCTGGATACTAAGGATAGCAGTATATTTGGTGAAGGATGTGCTGAAAAGAGCACACAAACCCTGTGTATTTATAAATAGTGCTGTCATGTGCCTGTGGTGTAATAACGAAGCCTGCCTGTGAGCGCTGCTCAGTAATGCAGGCAAGACAGAGCACTCAATTGGACAGAGACTTTGTTAGTCTGTCTCCAAATGACATCAGTGGGTTTCTGTATGGAATAGGAATTGTTAACACAGTGGCAGCCGCCCCACTGTGGGGAGCTGTGATTGAAGTGACAGTAGTGCCTTGGGGGCTGTCGCCTTCCCCCACCACAGCACAGCCTCTCTGGCACAGCTAGAACTTGAGAGCTGTGCTGAGCTGTGTTCCTGTGGACCAAAGGTTAGTCACTGGTTAGTAGTGGTCAGGCAGAAGTGAAGAGCAGTAAAGCAAACAAATCTAACTAGCTTCACTCCGTGCTGTGTTCTTTCCTTGCTTTCCAGCTTGTCTTTCTTAAAAGTAGCAGTGTTCTGGAGCACATGCCCTGCTCTTTCAGTCACACCCTCTCAGAGCAGTGGATTTCAGCCTGTCGGTGTTTCATATGCACACTCCGAGATTGCTTGTTATTAAATCTGTGTGCTTATACAGCAGTGCTGAGCTCAGTGATGGTTCCTTACAGTAACTCCCGCCCAGGTTTATGTGTAGTGGCCCCAGATCCAGGGAATGAGATGGGTAGCCCTGTGTCTCACATGTGGGATCTGTCTCCCCTCTGTTCTTCCAGCTGCTATGAATGTTATTAAGATCTGTTTGAAAGAGTGATTTGTTCCATAATGCCTTTCTCTTTTCCCTTTCCCAAAGCAACCTGTAATTGTGCTGATTGAAGAGTCTCAGGGCAGGGATTTGACATTTTGGATTACTCACTTAATTCCTTGAGCACTTTTTCCCAAAGAGCAGCAGCCGTCTGTTGTAGTTTTCCATTTGTTAACGGTATCCTGGATGTGTGCATACACACAAGCCAGTCTGCAGGATACTGATCAGTACAAAGCTTTTCTTCTCCAGAAAGATCACTTGGTTTTTTCCCACTTGGTTAAATTAGAAGCCCAGTCTCGTCCCTTTTTTGTGATCTGTACCAGATCTTTTTGCCCTCTTAGGGCTAGCTCTGAGAGAGGGAATCCAAAGAAGCAGTGTTCACAAACAAATGGAAGTGGCTGTACAGGCAAAGGCTTTGTGCAGAACGAATTGTGCTGCTGACTGGCCAGCAGCTGCTGCTGCCCGGCTTAGAGGGTGCTGCTTGCAGTGCTCCCACAGCTTCTGCTGCAGCCAGCCCTTAGCATGGCCAGCGAGCAGGGCTGCCCGCTGCTGATGTTCAGCTTATGACCTGCAGCATGTGCTTTGACTCTAGTAGCATCTCTATGTAGATCTGACCACTAATAACGAACGTAGCTGCGTGTTGTAGCTGTTAATACAAAGCCTCTGTTTCTAATCAGTGCATGGTATTATAGCGCATGCTGTGTGTTGTCATCCCCAGCCCTTTTATTTACAGTCTACAGCCTCAGGTTTGTTTATATCTGCACGCTGGTTTTCATGTAAAAAAACTTTCCCAACGTTTCCAGTTGCCGATAGCCCGACTCCTCCCCCCCCGCCGCCCCCTGACGAGATGCCAATGTTCGATGACTCCCCCCCACCTCCACCCCCACCCCCCGTGGACTACGAGGACGAGGAGGCTGCTGTTGTGCAGTACAGCGATCCCTATGCGGATGGAGATCCTGCCTGGGCGCCGAAGAACTACATAGAGAAAGGTAGGAAGGACTGCAACTGTGTACCTGCAGCACCAGGGATTAATGGTATCTGAAGGGGATGAATGACAAAGCTTGGTCTGATGAAAAGTCATTGTCCCTGCTAGCCAGAACTCAAAGTGTTCCGTTCTTGGTTTGTCAGTGGCTACACCTGATGTGATAAAATGTAATCCTTTTAAAGAAGGATTATAAAATATCTTCAAGCATTCTAGAATGGAGGGATAAAAAAAGTATAGTGAAACAGTTATGAGAAGCAGATGTGAATCCGATGGCTTTTCATCTTTGTTGAGCTGCTGGACTGCGTCTGCAGCTACCTCACTCAGGGTTGCTGAGCAGTCATCTAGAAAGTGTGCTGCACAAAGCCCAGAAAGTCCATGCTCTGTCCTGCTCTATCCTATCAAGATGGAAAGCCAGCTAGAGCAGACCGTGAAACATTTTGCTGTGAAATGTAGTGAGAGCGATAGGACGAGGAATGGTTTTAAACTGAAAGGGGAGATTTAGGTTAGATGCTTGGAGGAAATTTTCTTCCTCAGAGGATGGTGAGGTCTGGGCACTGGCTGCCCGGAGAGCTGCCCAGAGAGTGGGTGCCCCATCCCCAGAGGTGTTCAAGGCTGGATTGAATGGGGCCCTGGGCAGCCTGAGCTGTGGATGGGAGCCCTGTGCATTGCAGGGGGTTGGAACTGAATGGGCTTTATGTACCTTCCAACCCAAACCATTCTGTGAGTCTATGAGACATACCAGTGAGTCTGCCTCAGCAGACTGTAACTGTGCTTAGACATAAACTCATATAATAAATATTTCTTCCCAAGAATAACTGATTTCCTGCCCATAGAGCCGTCTGTGTTAGGACAGTGACCAGCTTGTCAACAGCAACGCTGCAAGTTCTCTCAGGCTCTGGCTGGTACTGTCATGAGCATGAAATGTGTCTGTGGTACCGTCTTGGCAGCAGCGGTGGAACTGCTGTGTTCTGTCCTCACTGCTGGCTGCACTGTATGTAGGGTGCACTCATGGGATGAAAAGAACTGACCTATTCCACCATCATTTGCTAGGCAGTAAGACTCAAGTTTCTGAGATGATACATCATGTAAAATAGTAGATTCTTAAAACCTATAAAATTGACCTATTGCATAAACCCATATTAACTATTTTAAAGGATAAGAGATGTCCAAAGTTTGTATATTGTTGAGTATGTTAAAAATTCCCTCGTTCTTTTTCCTATAGTAACTTCAACACTTGCATTCATTGTAGCCCCTTTAAAAGTAATGTCAAATCTTATTATCATCTAGAAACTATGCAGCGAAAGCAGGAAATGATTCACTTCTGTACAGCTATGGTTACAAGATTGTGCATGATCACAGAATCGTGGAGCAATTCTGTGATGATTATATGGTCATGCACTGCAGTATGCACTGTATAGTTGCAGGGGCTATTGTGTAAGAATTTTTCCTAGTGGTCTTTTTCTACAGTGATTTTTTTTTTTAGGCTTTCTCTAATCAAGATATGCAGGGATAGGAATGCCTTCGAGGCAGTCTGAGCAGAAATTCACATGTGAATTGTGAATTCACATGTCTGAGCGCCACATTCACAGACCCACCTGGTTTGTAACCCAGCTTTTGGATGGCCATGTCCACTGTTGCACTGCACTCCAGCCAGAGGCGCTTGCCCACACCAGAAGGTTTAGGAGCATTCGATGCAGTTACCACCCACTGCTTACAGGCAGGCAGGACTGCAAGAAAAGGCAGATGTCACTTTCTGGACTTGATGTTGAACAGGAAAACTGTGTGAATTCAGTACAGTAAATCAGGATGGCAAACAAGTCTTTCCAAAATATAATGGTACTGAGTGGTGCTATTAGCACGATGCTAACCTTTTCCCTGTTCAATCCACAGTCGTTGCTATATATGACTATACAAAGGACAAAGATGATGAGCTGTCGTTTATGGAGGGTGCAATCATTTATGTGATAAAGAAGAACGATGACGGCTGGTATGAAGGAGTTTGCAATCGAGTAACCGGCTTGTTTCCTGGGAATTATGTTGAATCAATCATGCACTATGCCGATTAAAATCCTTTGCTTTTCAAAGTTGGGTCTTGTACTCAGTCATACCATGATTATTTACGAGGGGTAACTAAAAGCTAACAGAATTGTCTTAATATACTTTCAAAAAAATGTGCCCATTTCTTCAGGCCATACTGTTTTAATGGTATGATTGAATGTCCATCTCTCTGAGTCTCTGGGGGCAGTATGTCTTACCTGATGGCAATCTGTAAAACAAGCAACTGTCTATAACTGGTTATACTTATTTACTTACGCATTGTTAATTTTATGACCAGCCTAAATATTCTGGGGAAGTAGGGTATAATATTTAATGAACCATGATTCAGATTGTGCCATTACATTTTTCAGTACAGCATGGTAACTAACACTACGTTAGACTAACATATTAAAATCTGGATGAGAAGTTTAATGTTAGTGCTGGTCATGTTACTTTTTGTTTAGACTCTTTGCTCATTCTTGAACTATATTTGTTTAAAGCATGCATACAAACTTATGTATTGAAATATACTTTTTTAAAAATCCAAGATGCTTCCAATTGTTGTAATCTTTACCTGGAGTATTCTCACTGAAGTCTATTACAATGAGTTGTTTGGGTCTAAGATGTCCATGTGAATCAAAAAATGGGTGGTCTTATGTATGTGTAATTTGTACCCAAGTTTTTTTAATAAGTAAATTTACATTATGACTTTTTCCATTCATAAATATATAAGTGAACCAAAGGTCTTGTCCATTGCTTTGTTGGCTGGCTTGACAAAGAAGTTTGGAATGCTAACGTAGCAAAATCATGGCTGTGTTATCCCAGGTGATGTACTAAAAAGCAAATGTTTGTAACATGACTTTATCACTGACAGAGGGCAAATAAATTAGATATGAAACCTGAATTATCCATTTATACAAACTCTTAAAAGTTCTTTTCTTCCAGTATAAGTTTTAGCAAGAGTTCTTGGTTGAGGCTAGTTATCTAGATAGAATGAGTTGACACTGTCTGTAACTGACATTTCTCAGTGGAAACTGTATCTGGACGTGGTAGTGTGCCCAGCCGAGGAAGCTGGGGGTTGTCCTCCAGATCTGACCGGGGGAAACAGTCAGAACAGGACAGGGATTCTTTTTACCTGGGATGGAGCAATGCACTTAGCCATTTGCATCAAAGGATAACAAGCAGAGATAGCTAGAGGTGATACTTCTGTTCTGCAAATACTGTGGCTTAAATAACCTGAAAAGGAATGCGGTAGTACTGGATAATTACTGTAATAGGAATGTGTCTGTGACTTCAAAGCAGTCTTCTAAGGAGAGGGCATTGGATATTCTGTGTAAATGAGTGATGGAAGATGATGGAGTTGAAGCTTTGACTGGCTGTTGAATCATTCATTGTACCGTGGGTTTGAAATACCAAACCTTCTACTTTCCCAACTGCTAGCAAGTAACAACCAATAACATACCTGTATTTCATTATGAATTGGAAACTAGTTACATATACAACCTATTCAAGTCTACATACAATCTGTTATTATCATCTCTTCCCCTTTATACAATTCCAGATACTTCTGTAATTTAACAGCCAGGAAAGCATTCAAACCACCTGTGTTTCCACAGGTGTTCAACAGATAGCAACATGTATGCTGTGTTTATTGTTGTGAACAAATGAAATTTGAGCAACTTCAATTTTCATACACTGATTTATATTTATTTTCATTGTGGCCTTTGTGCATCAACATGTAAACATCTTCCCCTGCCCCACAATTAATAGCCCCCACTAAAACAATTGTACAGCACGATCTGATTTGCTCTGAACCGTATGGCTTCCTACAATAAAACACTTCCATTTTTATTTTTATGGAAAAAAAAAGTAGAGCTCCCCCACCCCCCCAGAAAAAAAAAACAAAAAACAGAAGTTTCTTAAAAAAATAATTTTTGGTAGCCTGTGTTGGAAGCAAATAACTTGAAGGAAATGTAGGCACAGTCTGGTAAGTAGCTGCCAGAACGAGTGGAAGGAGTTCTCTCACTTGTCTCGCATGAGTACCATTTCTGTCAGTTGAATGAGGGCTTCTCTTTCAGGGGATGGGCGCAGTTTGCTGATCTCTCTCGTAGCTTCGTGGCAGTAGCGCTGGGCGAGGTAGGTTGTTTGCTGCACACCGTCACTCTTGTGTAGGATAAAAATGGAACACAGTGGATAACCGAGCAGCCCCTTCCTGTCTTTTGCCCCTTATTGTTACAGTGGCAGTTTTAAAGGTTTTAAGTCTCCTGAACGCTAAGTTATATGTTGAAGGAGTGAGGATCCACTGAATCTTCCCCAAAGCTTTAAAACACCAAAACTTATCAGCACTAAACTTAATTGTGCTCATAAAACAACACTTGTATCGGTAACATATTATTCAGTAGGACTAGAAACTAATTGCTTAACTCCTCTCCTGCCCAAAATAGAAGCATAAAAAAGCCCCATGCTGTGCTGACTAGCTATGTATTAATTCTGCACAATTATTTACTCTTTTCACATCAGTCAGCTAAAACGGGAGCGAGCACTTCAGTTGCAATCATTAGTTGCTGCTTACATCAGTCATTGGACACAGCAACTCTTCAGCTGAAGGAACTGAGTTAATGCACGAGCTTTTCATTTTTATTAGAGAGATTTGATGCTTTTTGAGGATTAAATAAAAGCCAACAATCTATTCAACCCAGTAATTCACATTTCTGTTAAAACACTGTGCCAGTACAGCAGCTCGGAGTACCAGCATGGTACCAACACACACCTCACATGCTTCTCAACATCCATTCAAATAATGCAACTCTGCTGTTCTGCTTTAGACAAAATGAAATTCAGACTGACTTCAGGGAGGAAATGTCTGACACCGTTCCTACCTGCAACACGTACTTCCGAGCACGTTCGACATCTCCTGGCTTACTGAATCGTCTCATTATCATGGCATTCATTTCTGGAAACTAAGCACAAAGCAAGAAGTTTTGTACTGCTTGTGAGTAGTTCTCCACGCAGCAGCTGGCTGTGCTAAGGTGGAAAAGAAATGAAGTACAGCTGCCATTCCCTACTGTTGCAGTCCCTACAGATTTACTGCAGCACACTCACTCACACAGTTACCTGCTTTCCTTGCACACCCGTGGTTATGAAACCACAGATCTATGCACTCCTTGTTAGGGAACAAGCGTGATATCCCTCACTGTTGTGACACTTCTCTGTTACTCAGAGGCACTCATTGTGGAAGATACATTTAAAAGTTCATTGGTGACTCACAGCCGACTTTCTCTAGATTCCAGCTTTCTTTCCACGTAATGACAAGTTAATTGCAATGTTCACATTATTCATATTTACAATGATATAGGATTCACACGCATTCATTTTTTATACCTAAGCTTCAAAGAATATAAAAATTCCCACCTGAAATGAAAAGCTATTTTTAGCAGTTACATAGATGTAAAGAGTAGTTTATGAGCATCTGACAAGACTGGCTGTAATAAAAATAAACCCTCCTTCTTCAGCTGTACCACTTAAAGAGTAACTCGAGAAGTAATGTACAGCAGTGCATTTCTTAAAAAAAGAAAGAAATAAATAACTTTTCATGGTGTGAACAGGTCTTATGTTGAGCTTGAACGTGTTTGTATTAAGGTCACTCAGTACTGCAGTGCAAAAAACTGCATCTCAGCAGAGGATAGAGGACAAGAAGAAAAGGCCGTCAGTTGAGAGCTGGACAACATTCACAGAAGTGTGGTTGTTGGCAAGACAATGTGAGGACTGCCAGATAAATTAAAGGGTGTGCAGGACAGCAGTAACATTCATTCCAAGAGGAGACAGCCTATAAGTAACAATTGCATTTTGGACTGTCTTCAAGTCCTCGCTCACGACTTTTCATTTTCAGATAAAAAGAGATGAAACTGCTTTCACTAGTGGCACAGATAAGCATTTAGCTCCAGATTTCTTTTTAGCACTTATACTTTGTTTATATATCACTTAAGTCTGTAGTGCTGTTCTTTCAGTTTCTTGAAAACAGCAGGAAAAGTTCAGCAAGGCCTCCCGCTTAGTGAGGAAATCTTTGCAAGACGATCAAGTTACCTTTCAATGCAAGGACTTACACTTGTCATCTACCAGATACAATGAGAAGTGTTTACAAGTGACCTATGACGATCGAGTCAGACTTCAAAATGAAGCAGATAGGTTTTTTTGTATTTCCATATTTTTTATAAAACACAAGAAATCAAATGATAAGTGAGCCTGAAAAAGACAAACAGCAAATCCAAGCAAATTCATAAAATAATAATTTTAACTTAAACATTGTGATAGTCAACACCCAAAAGATGGTCAGTCACCCTTTCTCTGCCAAGTCCTCATCAGTGTCTTTGTATTACATCCTTGCTTCTCCATACAAGTAGATAAAAAACCCCATCACACAACTGCACCCTCTTTCTGTACCTGTCTCTCACTGTCCATTTAGACAACTTGCTGCTAACAAGATCCTGCTGCTCACCAACAAATTCTGCAATAAAATTCAAGAACAAGTCTGCATGCCCCCCAGACACACCTATGGGGAAGAACTGAACACATGGAGGAGGTTGTTCTCAGCGTGCATCAGTCTGCACTCCCAAGTGGTTGATACTCCTCCCTTTCCTGTCTATTCTGAGATGCATGTCCTTGTAAATGCCCAAAGGATGAAGAAGCAAACACATGCATACATTCCAGCCTCCTCCTGGACTCTTTTGTTAAGAAAGAGGGGACAGTAAATGTTAGAAAGCTGTATTTTTAAAATAAATTATTTAAAATTTTTCCCATCTCAAGCTCTGAGCAGTTCCACTGAGAGAAAGAACACAGCCCAGAGCTCTGTCTGGAACTAGTTGTGCCACCTAGCATATCATGAAGCTTGGAAGGAAGGACTGCTTTCTAAGTCCCAAATCTTTCCTCAGGCAAAGCAGAAACCTGAGCAAGGTGCATTACACCAGGCTTTCTCCCTTCTATGGATTACTACCAATTTTGATGCTGCTAGTATTTCTGCTTCCTTTTTACTCCTCTAAATCATTCTCATGCCACTAAAAATCCTGACCAATTTTAAACTTATTGTTGTACTCCTTTCACTTATCCAAACTACTTTTACATTTACCTCCAGCAGCACAACTGTAAAGAAGGGAAAGCTTCCCATGTTTTCAACTGTGCTCCAGATTAGATACAAAGCCTAGAACTTGGCAAAAAGGTTACGTAGGCAGCCTGGGGAGAACATGGTGTCTGAGGAAAGAACATAAGGCAAGCAGCCAGTGTGCAGAAAATCTCCCGGAATACCTGCACCTTTGCAAAGTCTGGGCATTGAGGGCAGCAAAAGACTAATGCTTCTCTTGATGCAAGGGGCCTAACGGCAAGAGTAACTGAGGAGGAAGGTGTCAATCTCACAACACATGCACATGCACTCAAATTCCAGCTGATACTGAATGCACTGATTGTTCACATGTGCCCAGGCTGTGTTCATCACTTACACTGAAGAAGTGATGCATGTGAGCTGGATCTCTGTGTGGCTGTGAAGAGCCACGTACACATTTGGTTTGGGGTAAATGTGTTTCTTTTAACTTACCTGTCGACAAGCAAACAAGACAGGGCCTGTGGCTAACCCAAGCTTGAGATCTGCTGCTGCTGGTTTCCCAAGATGGTCAGCACATGATGTAAAATCCAGCACATCATCTATTAGCTGCAAGGAGATAACGACGATTAGCTTAGGGCATTTTTTTAATTCTTGTTAAAATTACATTTATAGCATTAAGACAGCCCACGTCAGTTTCTAAGGCAGTTGGGAAAAGTTAAGATTCCCCTTATTTCAACAAAAGCACTACCTGAAAAGCAATGCCAACGTTTTTTCCATACTGGTATGCGATCTCGTGAACTTTGGGATCGGGGCAGCCTAGAATTGAAACCTGAAAAGAAAAACAAAACAAGTGAATAGAAAGATTCAGCCAGGAGCCGCTTCTGGCCTGTGACCAGAAGGTGACACAGCAAGCACCAACAGCGAGAATCCGGGAAGGATTAAGTGCTGACTCAGCAGCACATTCTTGCTTATCTCTTGGATACACACGACAGCCAAGCTTATTAGGAAACAAAGCTGAGGGGCAGTGCACCATTAAGAATATATTCAAGTCTGATAGGAGATTAGGTTTATTAAATATTCATCAGTTAGAAATTATAATGCACGGATGAAGAGAGAAGAAATAAAGATGCATTGCACATGCAGGCTAATAGTCATATCCCAGTCCAGAGACAGATGAATTAAATTTATTACATTTATAAATCAGCCAGGGAATAATTGTAAGTCAGACAATAGATAATTGCACATTGCATGCCTCATAAAAGATCCACAAAATTGGAGGAGTTGCACCCACAGAGGAGGGTCAGTTGAGATAAGGTTATTTTTAAGGGTGATGTTATCTGCCTGAAGCAGAATTGCTCAGAAGACAGCTGATAAGCTTGCAGACAAAGGTATCAAGCGATAAATGGCAAAGAGAAATAAGGTAGAGAATGAAGAAAGCTCACCGAGGTAGACAACGGGATCACAAAACTGAGACAAATACTTTAACTGAGCAGAGACAGAGGAACTGACTACTTGAGAGAGAGCTTTCACTAAATAAATTCCACAAAACTGAAATATAGGACTGAGGAACAATCTGGGAACTCTATTGCCTCCAAGGAAGGGCACTTATGCTTCTGCACTTATCTGTTGACTGCAGAATGAGGTTGGCTATGTTTAAATTGCCTTATTCCTGTCCTCAATGAAGCTATCAGAAATAGGGGACAAAACCCATCCAAGTCTGCTGTGGCTGATGGAAGGGGCGAAGATGCATTTCATTTACTGTGAGACTAAGAATATGCTAGGAAAACCAGGTGACATAAAAATGAGTCAGTAAATTACAAAGACCATCTCTGTAAGGAACACAAAAGGTAGGATCATTAAAAACAAACGGGAAAAAAAAAGAATCCCCAGCAAAAAGCAGGTCGAGGAATAGCTTTGAGGGTGATCATGAAGATGGACGTGAAACAATGTTAGATGCTGAAGGATCAATGTATTACATATACCCTAATGAGTATGATGCAGTGTATACAAAGTTGGAAACTATTTCACGCTTCAGTGCATTTTGTAACTAAGCACCAGAAAATTCCCAGTCATAGCCTTCATGGATGGGTAACAGCAGACCCCCAGGGGTCTCAGCCATTAACATCTCGCTCTTCCCAGTTTTATTTAAGAGGACAGCATAGCAGGGAAATGACACTACCTATGTCTATTCATATGACATAGGCCATTAAAACAGTGAGCTGCAAATATGGGGCACTCAAGCGGGACTTGCTAGAGACTGTCCAGGGAGGACATCTTGCCCTTGTACCCTCCTTCTGAAGCTTTTCTCTTAACTAGCAGTATTTGCCCCTCAAAGCTAACATCATCTGCTGCTCTGCAGTGCCTAGAAAACTTGGTGCTTCTGTAATACAAAGATCAGCAAGGCAGAGGGACTGCATTTACCCCGTGCCAATGAAATCTTTGCATATTACCAAATTTAATGTAAAGAATTAAAATAATTCAGCAGAAGGATATTCAATTGGCAAAATCCTGGTTGATGGCAAAGAGTGAGAGTGGGGACAAACTGGTAGGTGGAGGGAGGAAGGGCTACAGCTAGAGAAGAGCTTCCTCTTCAAGCTGGGAGGTCAGAGCAGAGCTGTCACTGCAGGTGGGCAGTTCTCTGAGAACACTGACATCACCCACACAGGGAATTACGGCACTGCATGTGCGTTTCAAAAACAAAAGCACGAGTTCTTTACATGAGAAAATTCACCACTGCAAAAATGAATTCCTGCATCTTTGCAAGAGAAGACCTTTTTTGTATGCCCTATTTACGTTACAAACAACTCAGAGGACCAAAAAAATAAATCCATCAGATTTAACAGACCTATCGCTACTCTCTTACCATGACCACACCATAAACCTGCAAACACGACTGGGTCCTCCCAGCAGGGCTCCTCCAGGATCCAATTTCTAAAACTGTTCTTGTGGATTATTGCCCCCAAATGGACACTCACTGGGATGCAGGCAGGCTTGTCCCAGTCAGCCTGCTGCTCTGCAAGCAATGGGAGTCAGCCTGAGGCCGTACTGGGATAATAGAAGACATTTACAAATAAAAATCAATATAACAACATAAATATAATTATGTATGCTTAAGTGATAAAGCTGATGCCTTGCAGGTCATCCTATAGCTCCCCTATGTGGGGGTTTGTTGATTAAAAATTTAATCTTGCAAGAATTCAGACTTGTCCTCTAGTAAATTCTGATTTTAAAAAATCCTTCCTTATATCAAGTGGAATAAATTCTTCAGAAAGGTTCTTTGAATTCATTCAACCAGGTCAATCTGCTTGGTATTATTTCAAACACACTTTTTAAGATAGAAAATTGTTTCCAATCTTTTGTGTTACATGACAGCCTGTAAACCAATCTTGCCTCCCTGCTGACTTTTCACATCCATAAAGTATTCTGCCATCACCTCTGGATACATCATGCTCTTCTACCTGCCACGTGAAAATAGAGCAGCTGGGGTTTCGAACACTTGCACGTCTGCACTGGTAACTTGTACCCCAAACAGAAGCACCTGCTGCTGGGAAGAAACACGCTTGTCTAAATGGCACATGAGATGTTTGTTCTCCTTCTCCTAGGCTGGGGGCCATCTTGGAAAGGAAAAAGCTCTGAAATCTTCCCCTTCAGCTGCTCTCCAGCCTTCCTCCACACCCCATCTGAAGCAGTCAGGACCTTCTTGGTTGCAGCTCACCTGGCTCAGTTTCGAGGTGATAGCACCACTCTTCCAGGGGAATTCCAGAATAGTTTGGGTTGAAAGAGACCTCTTAAGATAATTTGGTCCATTCATTTGCTCAAACCAGGGCTTACTACAGTCAGAACAGGTTGCTCAGGGCTGTGTCCAGCTGAGTTCTGACCATCTCCAAGGAAGGAAATCCCATGCCCTGTATGGGCAATGTGTTCCAGCATTTGACCAAACTCACTAAGAATTTTTTCTCAACACCTAATTGAAAATTTTCATGGAAAAGCTCTTCCTTTCACCCTGCATCTCCATCTTCTCCTACACTCTGACACAGCTGGAGACAACATGAGGATTCCCCCTCAGCTTTCTCTACTCCAAGCTGAAGCCAACTCTTGTTGCACTACGTGCTTCAGCCCTCAGCCATCACTGAACTCACCCAGCAATGAGAACCTTGGTCTTGTATGAGTGAGCTCAGCTTGAGTACACTACTGCCAGTGAGGTCTGACATGTGCAGAGCAAAGGAAACCAGCCACATTGCCTTGATGTGCTGGCGATGCAGCCCCTTATGCTTTTAGCCTTCACTGCCACAGGGCCCACTCTCCTCCAGCCTCCTCAAATCCCCATTGATAACTCTTGGGAAGGAGGTTAGGAAGGTCTGCCTACTAGAGGAAGACATCTACCCAGCAGCTCTGCATGCAGCAGACAACTTTTGACCACAGTTTGCATTTTCATACATTTAATATGTCCTCAAGTAAAAGTTATCTGTCTCAGTATCTGCAGTGTATTTATGATAATCTTTCTCACAGTAAACAGATTATGAAGAAGAAAATCCCACAGGAACTACTGCAAGGAAATTTATTAGCTGACCATCTGATGCCACTGATGCTATGATGCTACGTTACTGTAGTCAGCGTGCTTAGTTTGAGGATGGGGCAGAGATCCATTTTGCTGGTGGTGTTTCAGCTTCTAGTATTTCAGAGGTATTATTTTCTTCAGCACCACTTCCATACCCTGGCAGATGTTTTTTTCAGCAGGAGCCCGGTGCATACATGAAACCATGAACTAGTTGAAGTAGATGCAGAGATGATGCTGTTCCTTCCTTCAGTCCCTCAGCCAGACCTCCCACACACAATCATGTCTCATTCCCCGAGGCTGCATGCTCTCCCCTATCAAACAAATCCATCTCTTGTGCAACTTCACACTGATCTTGCAACAAGCATGTTTAAATCCCTGTTTTGAAAGTGTGTTATGCAAAATACAAATAGCTTTACAAGGGTTAGGAATTCATATTAAAGCATGATTAAAAAAAAAAAAAAAAAAAAAGAGAACCTGCTGAATTTATTTTGCCTTCTCCAGGTGACTGATGACAGACAGAAATTCCACTGCAGATTCATTATTAAATTTTGAACCAGTCACCTGCTGTGATTCTCTGAAAAATGCCTTTCAGTAACTAAGCCTTCAGTGACCCTCTGGGCCATCTGCCATCATTTTCTTTTGCAACGTATTACTTTGGCTGCAACTTTGGTTACATTCCCCCATGTAAAACTATGGTAGAAAGAAACCGAGGACTGGGATGGCTCTAATATTTTGAGCATACTGCTCTGTCAATTAAAAACAACAGTAATTGCTATAGTAAAGGACGTTTGATTCGAGTGCTGCGATGCCTTGGAGATGCAGAAGATGTCTGAAGCGTTGAACAGACGAGTGCTGACAGACTAGTGAACACCCTGCTCAGACATCTTACCAGGAATACTCTGCATTCCTCCTACCCAGTGTACAATTCTAAGATGCCTCCTGAACCAGTTTGACGTTCCAGTTAATATTTGTGCTCAGTTATGCACCAAAACTAACCAGTGTCTTTTCCTATCATTAAAAGGATTTGAACTGCATCTGGTGACTCACCCAGTTACAGCTGATGTCCTGTAAATCCATAATCTCCCTCCTTGGTTTTGTCCCAGAAAATAGGATGTGAATACTCTTCATTCCCCAGATGAATTTCCTTTCAAGCTACAATGATGATCCCGGTGATCATCTTCACTGACAGAACTCCCTTCTGATTTATGGTCAAAATCATATGAATGGAGAAGAAAAAAAAAACAAAAACCAAACCAAACCAAACCAAAACAAACCCAAACTTTTCACTGCTAAAAAAACAGCAGAGCTCTCCTAATCCATGAAACAGAGGTAGGCATGCATATACAGATCATGCATACTGTGTCCTGCAAGTGTGATCTCACCTTAAGGAGAAAAGCCTCCTTTGTTTTAATTTATAACATAAATTCTACTACATATAAACATGCAGAAATTCAGCACTGGAACAACTCAGAAGAGTTACTTGAAGAACAGCACTCAAACACGTCCTTCCCATTCACCTGCATCACAGCAACAGTATGGAAGTAAATGCTCAAATCCTTAATTCTTCTGTGAGTTATGAAAAGGAAAACATTCCAAATAATAGATTTGTGAGGAGACCCCCCTCAGTGGGACAGTGATCCTTCTCTCCACGAAGGTTCTATTAGGATGACTGTCAAAGTTCATGTAAAATCTTTGTGGGGGTTTTTTGGGGGTAGCAGAAAATAAATAATGATGCTCCTCACTACTCCAACTCCCACTAACATAAGGGAATTGCAAAGGGAAATTCTTGCCTGGGTCATTCTGTCATCAATACAAGCAATCCAGAAAATTTCAGTTCTCTCCTCTGACCAGAAGAAACTGTATAATGAAAGACAATTTTCCTCCCCACACAATGCGTGTCTCTCATTCTACACGATTTTCTGGATAGAAGCAATTTTCAGCTGCTGTCTGTGGCACAAATACACAAGCGCTCTGAGAACACAGGAAGATTGACACAGGTTTATAATCTAATACCCCCAGAACTCTCTTGCTATGCCACACACCAGCTATAATTGCTTCCATAAAAAAAAAAAGAAAGAAAGAAAGAAAGAAAGAAAAGAATTTCAATATTATATATAACTCCATGGGGATAAGACTAGTGCTCAGCTTCTCCATTTTCTGCACTACGACTAAACAAGTTTTTTGAATAAGGACATCATTTTGAATCAGATCCTTCTGTAGTGAATTATCAGAACTGGCCAACGGGTAAAGTTAGATATAGCAGGGTTCCAGACAAACCAACACGTACGTGCTTGTGTTTTTTGAGAATATAATGTGGAGTATATGCAAGTGCTTGTTTTCTCCCACTGCTGTAATTTAAGGTCCCAGTTTGCATTGACAGGTGGGACCAGATGTCAGAGAAGACTTAAAATCGAATTACAGGATCAGGAATTCTCAACTGACATTAAGAAACATTGCCTGAAACTCGCAGAATTTCATAAATTTGTGGCTGCCACTGTGAACCCTGTTCTGAATATCAATACATCTGTGCATGAATATAAAACAGGAAGAAATGAAAACCAATATTGGAGGCTACCCAGCTGAACTGGGATAAAGCGCACAATATCAGACTCATTCTGGCAGAACATCATCTAAAGGCTTTACTTTGGAGGGTCTCCAGAGAAAGCAAAAATAATCAGGAGTTGAGCTGTGAAGCTTACAGTACGGTATGTTAACGTTAGAAGAGACAGACGTACATACTGCTTTACAACTGTTTGCTATCAGACTCGCCGTCTTCTTAAAAGTCTTCTCGAGGTAGTGAGCAAATCTCTCATTCTCATTTTCCTTGGAACCCAACTGGAGGAATTCACCTGAAATTTCGCACAGATTCAAGTTTTTATTTGTGGGCTTACTGCTGAAGCAAACAAGTCTGAAGATAAAAACAGAAAAAGACCTTACCACGCACCAGATCTTCAATCACCTGAGTTAGAACAGAGACGATAGTAGTGTTTCCAATTCGTGCTAAAGCTAAGGAAGCAGCTGATAGGATGAAATCACCAGCTAGAACTGCCTAAGAGTTAAAAAGAAAAAAAAAAAAAAGGAAAAAGAAAAATCTTTTGTTTTCCTGCAAGCATTAGTACAGATGATACAACTTTGTTATCTTTGGCACACCTTCTCACATCACATCATTTTCCTACATAAAGCATACATTTCTCATTGTAACAGAGAGAAAGCAGAAGACAGCCAAACGTTCCACTTGGAACCATCTCTCAGTTCCTATCTTATACTGCTGGTTAAATTTTTCTGCATAAGTAGTGCTCTCTCTCTGTGCAACATCTGCCTGTGTTTTCATGGTAGGTTTGAAGCATTTCCTTTCTATCTGACTGTTCTGCTGTGACTGTTACACCATGTCAGCTCTGAACTGCCTCGATCAGTTCTGATGTACCAGTAATTATCTTTTTTCCTTACACGTTTTGATTAAGGCCTTCCTTCACTCCGTGAAGAAGCAGCACTCAAAATATCCTCATGCTGACCAGAAAATGTTTTGCATTCATCACTGACACAGTCTAACCTACTGTGTTTCGAATGAGGTACAACTTCAAAAGCAAAAGACACGGGGAAGTTGAAAGCATTAACAGTTACTCCAGAATCACAGCTTCTCTAATGCTTCCAAAAGTTCAGTAACAGAACACCCATTTGTCTTACCTACAATCTGGACACAAGGCTTCACACTTTTTCTGGAATATCGCAAGACTGTGCCCAGAGACAGAAACACAGCAAAGAGCCTGGATGTTTCTGCTCTGCCACAACTAAAATGCAATCCTTCTATCCTCACCTTCCTCTCTCCCCAGATCTGGTTGACTGTCATTTTTCCTCTGCGAGAATTTGCATCATCAATGACATCATCATGAACGAGGCTAGCTGTGTGGATCATCTCTGCAATTATGGCCACGGAGCGCTGGCTTGCTTGCACCTCCCTAAAATGAAAAACAAGATTTGACATTTAATTAAACACATTTTGTGTGCTGCAGTGCGACTACAAGAAATCTCTACTAAAACCACGCAAAAATATATTTTGCTGAAAACAGCTGTTGCAGCTTTTCCATGGTCTGAACCCCATCTTTCAAACCTGAAATTAGGAAGACAAGAGAAAGTAAGATTATGTTAGTACAAGAAGCACAGCACAACGTTTCCATCCTCGTTAGGCCCTTTTCTGTCTTGCTGCATTAACAGCATTGCGAAACTCCTAAGTTACTGACTGTAATCCTGCTAAATCCAGACTGCAATAAATAGCACAGCATTAAGGATGCTTCATTCCAAGAAGACAGAAATCAGGAAAAGGGCAGAGAAAAAGATGCCAAGTAGCTTTGTAGCAGTGTTTAAAGTTTTCCTCATCTCCCTATTGCTCTGCTGCAACACCACAAACTCTCCCAAACTCTACAAACCAGCACGCTGGAGAGAGCAGCAGACAAAGAAAACCTTTATTCTACATCTGAATACATAATTTGCTGATCTTATCCTTTTATCTTATCCGATTATTCTAAGACTTCAGAGGTTCTTCAAAAGCCTGAAGAATTAACCGGAATTATACTGCAATCACTGTAGGGCTGTAAACACAAACTACTAACTTCTAAGGAAATTCAGCCTTTGGGAAGACCTAATACTGATGATTCAACTCTCAGTAGTTCACATTTACTTTATTTTTCAAACTAGGTGAAAAAGACATGGAAGAACATAACAGCAACTACCTAGGGACCACACTGGCACAACGAACACGAAAGACCTGTCCTACCTCAGAAAAAAGCACCATCAACCCTACTGCCGAACTGCTCCTGCCTTGTTTTATTATCTACATCATCTGTGATCTCATAAAAAGCTGCATGCAGGATCTCAGAAATGCTACCCCTATCAGCCTTGCCCTATAGCCCTAACAATCCCACATGGATGAGAAAAGAATAGAACAGGTAACATTACTTCTGATATATAAACACCTTACTTCTAGTATATAATTAGCAGAGCAAATAACACTATTTTCAAGCAGAACAGAATAAGCAGTGAGAAAAAAGAACTGAGATAAAGCAGAAGTTAACCATTTCAGCTCAATTGAATGAAATCTAAAATTTTGCACTGCCTAGTCTATTAAAATCTAGTGATTAATCACAAAATGAAAGAACATATTGCAGTCTGCTGACATAACACAGTGTTCTGACACCTACCTCTATGCAGAGCTATGCATTGCTGTCAGTGGGAGTTCTACATCCTGAACAATAGCAGGATGTGTGGCTCACAGGCTGTGAAAATGTAGCTTTTGAATAACACAAAAATAAGAGCTGGAAACCTTCATAGCTGTTTGATGGTAAGTTTCACTGTGGACTAGTAATTTAGCCAAGTGCTAGTTCAGTCTAAGCAGTTTTCAAGAAAATACGTTGTTACTAAGTAGGAGAACTTACCTTCAAACAACTGTAAAGGTCTCCAGCCTCTTTCATGCACAGGTCTCCTTTTGGGGACTCCCTTTTTCATTAATATGACAGCAGACTGGACTTCCTGCTGGGAAGTAGCAGTAAAGGGCAACACTCACAGACACGCCAATATTTTCAGTAGTATGAATGCAGCACAAGCACAGACATTTCAAAAACAGGTTTTGAAAATTCTGTTTTACAGTGCAGCTCATTTCTGACAATGACCAAAAATGGCAGGGTTAAAGTGTCTGGCTTCATATAAGTTATATCACATGTTATAAATCAACCTGGAGGCTTTTTATAAAGCTGCTATTTCCGGAAGTTCTCCAGCAAGGTTCTTCCCACCTGTGGCCAGAAATTTTGCAGTAGCTCCCTACAAACACTTGTAAGAAAAAAATTGGAATCAGAGCATGCCTACTTTAGGGAAAACACAAAAGAAATGGGATCTTCCTTTTTCCCTGTCATTTTTCATTCAACTCCGCCTGCAAAACAAAAGCAAAAAGTGCCGGTAGTAACTCAGGTCAGCAGGTAACTGGATCACCACGAGTCCACTGAGTGCAGTGATGCCATTTTTAGGTCATTCTCAGAATAAAGGCACCCCAAGGTGTACATTACAAGTATATTCTGTGCAACTAGAACTTCATCTTTTAGAAATGAATATAATGCACATGTGAGTCCTTGATCACATTCTACTTTTCAACAGGATCTCCTGCTTGATTCTGCAGCAATCATTTATAGGCACACAGTACCACAGGGAACCAGAACTTGTTTCAAACGCACTGAAGAAGACCAAGGTTGAACTTACAGGTGAGCAAAACTTCTGCCTCCAAACCAACACAACATTAACAGCTGCAACAAGGTGCTTTGCTATGTGTATGCCAGTAGGTAAATACTGCCAGTTAAAAGGCCAGAAACTTGCAACAGAACTTGCAAAATTTCTGCTGAACAATCACACTCCTCAAAGTACATTTCTGCTGTTAAGTTCATGTGGCTAAAAGAAAGTAATGCTTCAGAAACACAGCCTATGACACACAAGGACACTACAAACTAATGGAAGCATAGAGAAGGGATGTGTTAATTAGGAACAAACTACAGAACTACTGAGAAACAGCAAACAGTAGAGGCATCTGACAATGAAGAAGGAAAGCAAAGAGGGCTAGGGTTGCTGGCAGATCCCCATATGATAGGAAATATTCAGTCCAGTTTGGCTATGACATTATATGTAAGTATTTCTCTACCATTTTGATATATTTATTTCCCTTTTTTTCCTCCCTAAACATTTTTGTGCTCACTATTTTCTCCGTCAAGATGCCTCTGTACTTCTTTGGCCTTCTTTCTGTTTGTCTCTCATTTCAGTTGCAGAAATAGACAAAAATTCCTATATACAAACACCCTTGGAGAATATATCTTACATAGAAACCAAGGACCCATCAGGTTAAGTGATAATTCTGTGAAATTCTGCACACAGGTGTCATGTGAAGAAACATCAGGGGATGTGTGAAACTGAGGGTTTGCATGACTTCAATTTCAACTCTTTACACTAATTTTCATTCTCACACAAAGATAAGTTGCTGTCACTAAACAAACAAACAAAAAACCACCCAAAAAATGAAGACTCAGAGCTGGACTTTTGACAATTGAATATTCAAGGGGAAGAGAAAAATAAACCATACTAGCACAAAACAGCCTGAATGCTTTGGATGGCTATTTTTTGACAACATTTTGGATCGTTATGGCCTTGTACAACAGTCATTCTCTTTACAATGACTAAAACAAAGCAACCCTATGTAGAATGCCAGCTAACCTGCTAGGGGCATTCTATATAGCTAACCTTCTCAAATCTAAACTCAAAAGATCATATCACTTAATCAGTAAGCAGAGCTATCTGGGTATCTGTCTCCATTCCCTAAGAAATTTCATCCATTCTCATGGAGCTCTGTGAAGACAGAGACATCACTGTGAACTGCTTCAAAAGATCAGGACTCATTTCCTTATGAACTTGTGTCCTGTTATTTTAATAACCAAGCAGGGAAGAGTAGTACCTTTTCAAGTAGTACCATAGGAAAGGAAAACAAAGCAAAAACAACCTAGAAAAGCAACAAAAAACAACTGAAGAACCAGCAAAAGCATGGTGGATCCAGAAAACTGTAGGACAGCTGAGAAGGGCAGCATGGTCTGGGTTGTAGAAAACGGTGCTACCTCAGACTGGCATCCAGTCACTAGCAGGGCTCCATTTTAGGGTCAGTTCTCTTTTATGTCTCTTTAATTTGGATGTAGAATTAGAGGGTGTTTTGAGTAAGTTTGCTGATGATACTAAACTGGGAGGAGCTGTTGACTTCACTGAGGGTGAAAATGCCTTGCAGGCCTCTAGGCAAATGAGAGAGCTGGGCAATCACCAGCGACACCAAGTTTAACAAGAGCAAGTGTTGGATTCTGCACCTGAAAAGGGGCAACTCTGGCTATTACATACAGATTGAGGGATGTGGCACTGGAGAGCAGTGTCACTGAAGGAGACCTGGGGGGTCTTGGTTGACAGCAAGTTGAACACGAGCCAACAGTGTGCCCAGTCAGCCAGAAAGGCCAGGCCTGATGCACCAGGTGGTGTATCAAGCGCAGCATGGCCACTGGGCGAGGGAAGAGACTGAACTGCTCTGCAATGCACTGGTGTGGCCTCAGCTTGAGCAACATACAGCTTTGGGCAGCACAGTATGAAAAGGACATAAAACTATCAGTGTGTCCAAAGAAGAGCTACAAAGATGGTGAAAGGTCTGGAGGACAGGATGTGTGAGGAGCAGCTGAGGTGCCTGGCTGTGCTCAGCCCAGAGCAGAGGAGCTGAGGGGAGGCCTGATGGCGGCTGCAGCTCCTCACAGGGAGCGGAGGGCAGCGCTGAGCTCTGCTCTGTGTGACAGCGACAGGGCTGAGGGAACGGCATGGAGCTGTGTGAGGGGAGGGCAGCTGGGCTCAGGGAATGGTTCTGCACCAGAGGGTGTTCAGGCTTGGAACAGGCTGCACAGGGCTGTGGGCATGGCACCAAGCTGCTGTAATTCAAGAAGCATCTGGACAAAGCTCTCAAGAAATGTGGTCTGATTTTTTGTGGCGCTGTGTGGAGCCAGGACTTGATAGGCCCTTATGAGTCCTTTCCAACTCAGCATATTCTATGATTCTAAGACAAAACAAATTCAACAGCAGTCATACAAGCCTCTGAGGCGGAATTTTATATATATATAAACTTAAACATAAAAGATAGGAAATGGGCTCACCCCACAAGTCTATCGATGCTCTGTCCAGTATCTGATTACATGTGTGGGAACCAAAGTAAAACAAGTCTGGGAAAAGAATCAATACTAACTGAGCAAAAAGCATGATAAAATGCTTCCAGAGAAATGACAAGTTGAAAGAGGAGAAACATCTCAAAAGAACAAAAAAAAACCAAAACAAAAAGAAACAACCGAACAAAAAACCACCAACCCAAAAACAAGCAACAAGAGAGGCAGAATGGAAAGCAAGAGCTGTTTTTCCCCATCTCAGATCTACAACAGAGTAGCAGAGTAGCAAAAATGCAGTTTGTTTCTCTACGCATACATTTTCCCTCATGAACAGTAAAAAGATGGAAGAACAATTTGTCAACCGGAAGCAGTAATTCTGTAAGAAGCAACAATAATGAAATTACTGTCAGTGTGAGCTGGAAGTACACATATAGATGAAACAGGTGTTAACACACAGCCTGCCTCAAGAAACTTAAAAGCAAAGAGAAGAAAATGCATATGAAAATTCATTAACCCACATACCAAGTAGGTATGCAAAATATGAGAGTGTATTCTTTCACATGGCCTACCCAACCCTCAAAAGATGGTGGACATCATGCAGCAGCCAAAAGGCTTGCAGAAACATATATGAATTTCAGTTACAATTACAGTCTTTAAGAAAAGCGTCATGAAGCAAAGAGAAAGATAAATACTCTGGGATTTCATTCTCTTCTTTTATTGAAACCTTTCTGCTCTCCCTACTCAGATTTTCATTCTAAAAAAAAAAAAACAAAACCAAAAAAAAACAAAAAAACAAGAATAAAGAAAAAACTAAACATGACAGACATGACAGAGATGGTGACTCGGCCTCTTCTCATAAAAGGTACACTTAAATTAATGAGACTTTTAATCATCAAGCATAGTTTGGAGGTGCTGACAAAAACTGAGAGCTGTACAAAAGCTGTCAAATGACACAGGTATCTACAAAGCAGTGTCAGTGCTGAGGGTTGGCTACTGGACTTAGTAATATGTAGCATTCAGAGTCTGAGATCACACTTTCTCACCGGCACAGGGCAGATGTCAAAGTGGTCCTGACTGTTTAAAGACAGCATAACGCATGGACAAATGTATATGCATGAGCACATACATGTTAAAAGGCAGCAAATACCATTATATGCTTCCTTACATCAAGTCTGGACTTCTTGGTATTGCCTGTACACTACATAATTTTATTGATAAGCTTCTCATACAACACATTAGAATGAGATAGAACTATCTTTTCTATTATTCTGACCAGATGGCTGTTCCAAAAACTCACTGTTCCAATTGTTAAAACTCTCCTAAATTTCCATCCTGAACACATTTACTCTTATCAATACTGTACATTGTTTTAAACAGCTTTCTTCCTGCAGACAGCAAGTCCTTCACTCACCCTGATTCTCCTTCCAGTCCATCCCTCTTTCTTTAAACACAGGAAACTGATGATTTCACAAAGCACTGTACAGTTATATCGCTCTTCCTTAGCTGAGCTGGCTATTTTGTGATCGATGCACACGAGGATCACTTCAAGGTTTTTCACAGAGGTGTCTGCAAATCTCACTGAGGTTACTCCATAATGGGACACTTGTGAGCCTTCAAGCTCAAACAGAAATTTTTGTTTCATTGTTCTACCTTTCATTCCACCACAGATGGCAAGTCATCAAGAATGACTGTCATCAGAAAGTGCCATTGCCACACTCATGGCAAGAGCACTTGTAAAAATATTAAGCAAATCAGTGCTGTGGGAAAGGATGTCTCTGAGGACTTTCAGTAATATTATTTCTTCTTTTTATGTCTTTATCACTGTCTCAGAGTGGTACTGTACAGAAAACTGAATTAAGCTGAAGTGAGGTTCATTGGTCCAAGACAAACTGCCACACGCAGGACAGGATATTGCCTATTAGGTTTTTCTTTCCCCTTAGAAATTATGTTCACATAGGAAGGGAGAAAATTTCACTGTTATACAGGGAAAGGTGCCATATCAAGCCACAAAATATATGCTGTGCTCGAAGGTATAAAAATCAAATAATTCAACAAGGCACTAAGTTATCACTAAGGAGATGATGGTGCAGCAGCTGGGAAATCCCTTGAGATCAATAAATTAGTCAAGACACTTCTGGCTAGGGACCAAAAATGTCATACTTGAAATTCTATGAGGGCAGACTGGAAACATAACTGGAATGCAGAGAGCACTTCAGCCAACATTTTTACCACAAAACACAAAAAAAACTGACAGGAATATGTGGAAATAAGTATCTGCTGTCAGGCAGAGCAAGGAGTGATGTTCTACTCTGTCAAAACTCTCAAATTGAAAATCATGAGGATAACAGCAGAATCTTTGAATAAAGAACCTGACATTAAAGCATACAAATCTGCTTCCAGAGCTGTAGCACCTCTGACTGTCCCAATGTCTCACAGCATCAAATACAATTATGCCACCTGCTTGATGGCTTTTCTGTGTAATAACAAACACACATTATGAAAGTCCCTTCTTACAACAAAGTTCTCATCTGTTCAAGAGTTTAACAGCTACAAAAATGGTTACAACTGAAAAACAGTTAACAGTTTCCATGAGTGTTACAGATTCTAACAAATCATTTATGAAAGAAGCTACAATTTGCTTAAAAGCCTCACCAGAATTTGACCACATTGTTTTCCATCACCAGTTACAACTGAGGTACACCCCACAATTTCTCATCTTGAAGCATATAATAAAACCAGTAGTCCACTTTGCACTGCTAAATTCAAAAATACATCTTCAAAATGGAATTTAAACTCAGGCTTTATTAAGGTACATTTTTTTTTTTGAGGAAATAGCGTGGCCAGCAGGAGCAGGGAGGTGATCATCCCCCTCTACTCAGCACTGGTGAGGCCACACCTCGAGTACTGTATTCAGTTTGGGGCCCCTCACTACAAGAAAGACATTGAGGCCCTGGAATGTGTCCAGAGAAGGGCAACAAAACTGGTGAGGGGTCTGGAGCACAAACCTTATGAGGAGCGGCTGAGGGAGCTGGGATTGTTCAGTCTGGAGAAGAGGAGGCTCAGGGGAGACCTTATTGCAATCTACAACTCCTGAAGGGAGGTTGTGGTGTGAAAGGGTCTGGCCTCTTCTCCCAGGCAAATAGTAGGACCCAAGGAAATGGCAAGAAGTTATACCAGAAGAGGTTTAGGTTGGATATAAGGAAGAACTTTTTCTCTCAGAGGGTGGTCAGGCACTGGAATGGCTGCCCAGGGAGGTGGTGGAGTCGCCGTCCCTGGCAGTGTTCAAGAGGCGCCTGGATGAGGAGCTACGAGAGATGGTTTAGTAGCTTGTGGCACTGATACGAATGGGAGGGTGGTTGGACTAGATGATCTTGCAGGTCATTTCCAACCTTGTGATTCTGTGATTTTATTTCTATAAAGTTACTTGACATATTTTTGGGGAAATGCAGGAACGATGCATTTCAAGTATGATGTAAGTCCATATACTCAAGAGCAACTGACTCACCTGGAATTGCTATGGTGAATGTTGCAAGCCCTTGCCATTAGCACCACGATCATTGGTCGAAAGGCCTTTCCTTTCCCATCAAAGTAATATTCACACATTTCCTTAAGTTCAGCAGTAGATACAAGTAACTCCTACAGAAAAGATGACACCAGCATTAAAGTCACAAAGCCAATCTTACAGTTCAAGTAGTATGCACATAAAAGGTTATTGCCCTTTTCATTCCACCCAATGTAAGCTGACGTCATTTTTACTTTTCATTGTAATCTGAAATATAATTGATGATTCAAGCACTGTATGTCAGGATAAAACAAAAATTGCATTCTAGTTCTATACAGTATGTCAAAATGCTCTCTTTACTTCCAGATAAGTTTACAAACAGCTTTTCATAAACATGAAGAACAGTCCCTAAGTAACTACCCTCCACAACAACAGTTGCAATTAAAGTCAGAATCGTTACGATATCCCAGAACAGTCACCAAAACTCCTTACCTTTTTAATATCCTCATAGAGATTCTTCAAGTCTTTTCTGCCAAGTTGAAAAGGGTCTTGGTATTTTTCATCACTAACTGTCTTACTGCAGCTGCACATGTGGGCTGTACTTGTATGATAAAACCTGGTGACAGGGTTTTTCAAAAGATAAATATTGTTAAAAGCCAACTTCCCTTGGTTCTACAAATAGAAGCCGTTCAAAGCACACCTTCCACCTTCCTCCTTCCTTTTCCTCTCTCCCCTCTCCCCCCCTTCCCCCCCCCCAAAAAAAAATAGTGAAATAGCTAAAAGATAAACACAAGGCATCAAAATACTCATTTTAACTAACTACTGAGGAATAAGGACAGCAAAGCTGCTTGTTGATGATTGTAGACTTCTAGGAGCTAGCAAAGTGCAGCATTTGGAAACCAATAATCACCATATTCCCCAAGCACTCATGCACTTAACAGATTACACAAGTCTCCTGAGTACCAAACTACACTGCTCTCAGCTTATTCCTTTGGAACACACTGTATGGTACTGTAGTGCACAATTGTAGATGAAGCCTTCATCTTCTAGCAACACAATTGTTCTGCCAATTTCTTCCCACTCCTAGACAAATGTTCCTGGCTTGGATTTGAAAGTTTCCCTTTACACACCCAACTACATGAGATGGCCTAACCTAAGTTATACATTAAATCAGTACTTCCAGTTAGTATCATGATCCCATGCATCGATAAGGGTCAAAGTTCTACCTGCATACATCAAGGTGCATTATACCTGGGTCTCATTATTTCTTTATATTCCCTGGAGCTGAAGGCTATGGTTCTTAGTGTGCCTCATTTTTCAAAATGAATTTCATGATTTGAAATGAGCTTTGCCCACTGCCCTCCTGAATGGAAGATTCAGACTCTAACCCAACACCACAACGGTGGTCTACGTGGAATTATCCAATGTTCTGTAGCAAATAACCTTACTTTCAGTCTATGCTTATGGCTCACGGTGACTGCACAGGTCAGCCAGTAACTACGTCTTTTCCCATCAAGGAACAAGGGCCTCCAACTTACCGCCAAGATATACTACACAGTTTTGGAAATGACCATACTGGGCTTCTTTGGGGAAAGTGACACATCTGTGCAAAGAAAAACCAAGGTTAATTTCAAAAACAGAATTTAAAACGGATGGAAAACATCTGATTACAAAAGCAAGCGTTCAGCACCTCCCCATTTCTTTTCTGAACAGCTCAGCAGCAAAGGCAGCCTCTTAATCCCCCTCTGAATCACGTGAAGCGCCGCTGCCCCTGCGTCCATGAGATGCCGACTTACAGACTTCTGCTCAGGCGCAGTGAACTTTCTCCCCTTGCAGGAGCAGCCAGCAAAGCGATCAGCGCACTTCCAGCGAGCAGTGCTTGCTCTTGCACTCACGGAAGTGCAGTTTTCAAACGTTCCCCGTGTTACAGATAAATCCAGACCGCACCGCTCGCGCAGAAAGGGACAGGAGCTTTCTGTAAAACGCCGCACTAACTGAAGAACGTACGCTCTGTTTTCCCCTGAAGCCGTTTTAATTCGGCTGTGATTTACACCTACACCCTGCGGACGCCAAGAACGTAACCCCAAAGCCGACAACGTCCTCAGAGACCCTTCAGCAGGCTCGGACCCCCGGGCCCCACACCCGTCACACCGCCCGGAGCACGCGGAGCCGCCCTGCCGCCACGCCCGGCTCGGCGCCGCTTCCTGGGCCCCGCCGCCCCATTCATCGCCGGTGACCTCCAGGCGCCCGCCGCACTCACCGCGGCGCGCAGGGCGGGCGGCGGTCCGCGCGGGCCGGGACCCGGCGGGAGGAGAGGCGGCGCGGGGTCGAGCGGCGGTGCCCGGCAGCAGGAAGCGCCGCACCGCCACCACAAGCGCAAGGCCATGCCGTCCCCGGCAGCGCCGGCACCGCCGTCCTCACCGCCGCGACCCGGAGGCGGAAGCCCGGCGCCGCGACCCGCCGCGGGGCGGCCGGGAGGAGGAGGAGGAGGAGGAGCAGTTACGTTCCCCCCCCGGCTCGCCTCCCTCCCGGCAGGGAGAGCCATGCGGCCGTCCCGCCGCGCCGCGGCCGCGCCGAGCCCCGCCCGCGGGGAGGGCGGCAGTGTGGCGGGGCTGTTGCTCCCCGGAGTGCTCGCCTGCCTCGCGTGGCTCTGCGGGGCCCGGGGCCCGCCGGAGCCGTTCTGCCCCGCCGTGCTGGGCCCGAACGCGTCGCGCCTGGAGCGGAGCTGCGACAGGGAGCAGCGGGCGGCTGCCGGCATCGGCGCGTGGGGCCTGAGCTCGGGGAGCCTGCTGGGTGCGCGCGCGGCCCGGGGTGGCGGAGAGAGGGGCGGCTGCTGCTGCTCGTGGGGAGCTGTCATAATGCAGAGGCGGAGAAGTCCCAGTTCAGCGTTAGTACAATCAGCTGGCAGCGATTTCCAGTACCCAAGGCAGTGTAGCATACAGAAATGCTGTAATAGCAAAGGTTATTTCCATATAACCCCGTGTACATTATTAGAGGTGATGATTTGGTGGGTGAGGTGCTTGGCTGCGCTCAGCCCAGAGCAGAGGAGCTGAGGGGAGGCCTGATGGCGGCTGCAGCTCCTCACAGGGAGCGGAGGGCAGCGCTGAGCTGCCCTGTGTGACAGCGACAGGGCTGAGGGAACGGCATGGAGCTGTGTGAGGGGAGGGCAGCTGGGCTCAGGGAATGGTTCTGCACCAGAGGGTGTTCAGGCTTGGAACGGGCTGCACAGGGCTGTGGGCATGGCCCTGAGTGCTGGAGTTAAGACACCAGAGGGTTTGGATTTTAAGTGATCCCTGTGTGGAGCTGGCGGTTGGATTCAGTGAACCTTGGGGGTCCCTTCCAACATATTCTGTTAGACCATGGTTTTCTTCAGGTGGTGGATTTATATGCAGGCATAAGGGCAACAACCAGTGACACACTGTGTGGCAGATGTCTGAAGCAGAATTTGCTGTTAAAAGACATTGAGAAACTTGGCTAACAGCAGGTCTCCTGAGATAATGACAACATTTTAATATTATAAGGGTGATAAGGCACTGGCACAAAGGGTCCAGAGTGGTGTTGGATGCCTGTCCCTGCAGACACTCGAAGTCAGGCTGGCTGGGGCTCTGAGCTCCTGGTGTAGGTGTCCCTGCTCATTGCAGGGGAGTTGGACCAGATGACCTTTACAAGTCCTTCCCAACTCAAACCATTCTGTGATTTTACAAATTGGTGACTGTGAGGCATGGGAATTTAACACAAAACTGTAAAAATATTGCAAGGAGAAATACAAAAATGTGTTAAAAGGCACAGTACTAGTGCAGTGTTATAAAACATATTTGTGCTGTTAGATGGGTCAGAGTAGCTTTGGGTGAAGAAAGAAGTACATCTTTGCATATGCATGCTGCAGCAAGAAGTGCATCCTCTGACCCGTTTATTTACTGTTACACTGCTCAGAGAAGACTTTGGAATGTTACCTGGAGATCATTGCTGCATGTGGACTGTGCCACGGTTACGAGCATGCAGTGACTTCAGCTGTTTGCTGCCATGTTCAGCTGTGGGTGTAGCTCTTCTGACTGCTGCAAATACCTTGTAGAGTTGTGTGTATCTGAGTACAATGTAAAACTGCCTTAGAATCATAGGATCCTTAGACTTGGAAGAGACCTTTAAAGGTCATCCAGTCCAACTCCCCTGCAGTGAACAGGGACACGCATGGATAAATCAGGTTGCCCAGGGCCTGATCTAGCCTGGCCTTGAAAGTCTTCAGGGATGGGGCATCTACCACATCTCTAGGCAGCCTGTGCCAGTGCCTCACCACCCTCACTGTAGAAGATTTTTTCCTTATATCCAAGCTAAATCTGCCCTCTTTAAGCTTGAATCCATTTCCCCTTGTTCTGTCACTACAGACCCTGCTAAGCAGTCCATCCCCTTCTTTCCTGTAGCTCCTCTTTCAATACTGACAGGCTGCTATCAGATCACCTCAAACCCTCTCCAGGCTCCGCAGCCCCAGCTCTCCCAGCCTGTCCTTATAGGAGAGGCATTCCATCCCCGGGATCATTTTTGTAGCCCTCCTCTGGATGCACTCCAGCAGGTCCACATCTCTCTGGTACTGAAGATTCCACATCTGGACACAGTATTCCAGGTGAAGTCCCACCAGCACAGAGCAGAGGAACAGGATCACCTCCCTGTCCACACTTCTTTTGATGCAGCACAGGGTACAGTTGTCTTTCTGGGCTGCAAGGGTGCACTGCTGGCTCATGTCCAGCTTTACACCCACCAGTACTCTGGAGACTCTTCTGATCACACTTGATTGAAAATATGTTTTAGAGCTTGAAATTGGCATGGTCTTCTTGTTCCTTTAACTTCAGGATTCAATTATTCCTTTGAAAAATCTTAAACAGAGTAAGACCCTAAGTTTATCTGGGCTTACTTTTCATACAGGTTTAATTCTGGATAGAAGGAAAAAGCTTTTTGTAATGAGGGAAGTGAGGCACTGGAACAGGTTGCCCAGGGATGTGATTGTTATCCCATCTTCCAAGGTGAGGTTGGATCAGGGCCTGGACAGCCTGATTTACCTGTGTGTGTCCCTGTTCACTGCAGGAGAGTTGGACTAGATGACCTTTGAAGGTTCTTTCCAACTCTAAGGATTCTATGACTCTCTGAATGCATGTTCTGGTAAATTTTGATTCTTTGTTCATTTTATGTGGCTGGTTGATTATTTTTTTTTTAATTGATTCTGAAGTATTTTGATTGAATTTTAAGAGGAAAGGTATCAAGAATAATATGGTTAGGATTGGGGTTTTTTTTGTTGTTATTTTGTTTTCTGTTTTTGTTTTTTACCGTTTCTCATGTGTTTCATACAGATTCTTTCCCAATTGATCCAATCCAAGAAAATTATGTCCGTAATGTGAGAAACTGCATTTTTTCCGTTGTCTATCCCACACCTTTTAAATCCAGAGTTCTTCTTGTGGCTGTTTCAGAGGTTGGTATTATTTTGGATTCTCTCCAGTTTATAACAATTGTTAAAATACGTATTAAAATAGATTTCAATATTCATAAGCTGTTTATTGTTGAGGTGTCAATATATAATTTAAACAAATAGAACATTTAAACCGTATTATGAGATGTCTTCTGATAACAAAGCATATAGACAGCGCATTTTTTTTATCACTGGAATTTTGTTCATATTCAAGGACCACATGTATTATATTTTTCTCCAGGAAGTTATTGAAGATATTTTGGATCTTCATATATCTGTCAAAGAAACCTCTGATTTTCTTCAGTTTGTCAGCGGTGAGAAAGTGTTACATGGGTCTGTTCCTTTGGCCCATAGATATGGAGGCCATCAGGTAACTAACCCTTGTTCGTGCAGGTGGAATTGTGTAGTTCTTTTAATGTGGATTCTACCTTAAACTATATTATTTACTTGAATTATGTACGTATTGTACGTGTTGTAAATGTGTGCCTGTATACCCGTAAGTACTTGAATGTGTGTGAACATTTAGATGGCAGGTTTGCTCTTTGTGGGGGCTGTGGATAGAAGAGATCTACAGTGCTTTTTTGTGGTACCGCGGCTGCTTTCTCTGCCTCTGTTTTCCAAAAAGCAAATTATTCTTATATTTTCTGTTAGCTGCAGAGTCTGCTTTGTACCCCACAGCCTGACAAGGTCTGATTGGTGATAGGTAGTACTGGCTCAGGGGAGTGAAGAAGGGCAGAACCTCACTGAATTCAGCAATAGCGTGATTTGACAAGAGTTAAATTTCATTAAAATAGATGGAATTATTCATGGAAAAGAGTGGTAGAATTTGGTGCATAATTTGCAGTTTAAACCGTGTATTTATTACAAGCCGTGTTGGTTGAAGGGCTCATTATGCAGAAGAGACAGGTCAGTAGCTGGCTTTGTAGCTGGAGGGTAGAGGGAAAATATGGGGATTACTGTGTCTGTGTGTGGTTTCTGATTCATGGTTGGTGTGAGTGTGAAAGTGCTTTAGGGATCAGTATCTTAATTACTCCTGAGCAAATGTGTCATTGTACTGTGTAGATCGCAGCGAACCTACATGCAATTTGTACTGCTTGAGTTTAACTGCTGTTACTCATAGAAGAAACGATTTGTTGTTCATTTCTGCTAGTTTGGCAGCTGGGCAGGTCAGCTGGGGGATGGAAGAGCCCACTTGGTCGGAGTGTACACAAACAGGTGCGATGCCTTCTGAAATGACTGCACTACTTCTGTATTCTGTGCAGCTGCAAACCCCAGGGTGCATTGTTACAAACTCTGAGGGTATTTTTGCAGGCGTGGTGAAAGGTGGGAACTGCAGTTGAAGGGCTCAGGAAAGACCCCATACTCCCGGTGAGTTGCAGTTAATTCATACATAACAAAAGTGGATGTTTTCTGCTTTAGAGTTGCCTAGATTTTGTGACTGTTTTTTTTATTTCTTTGTTGTCTGTAGGAATGGTGATGGAAGAGCTGTGCTTCGCTCTTCTGTGCGGGAATTTCTGTGTAGTGAGGCTATGCATTATCTTGGAATTCCAACAAGCAGAGCTGCTAGGTATTACTCTTTTCTTTTTCACACCTTCCTTAATTAAAGGTAATCTTGTGCCTGAGTTTCGCTGGGCGCCAATAAAGCAGAACAAGGACAGATCTTTCTTTTCACATGTATGCAATTGGAACTCTTTCTTGGATATTCTTTTGGATAAAACTTCCCAGCAATCATGAGCTCCAGCTGTTTACCCATTCACTTTGATGTTTGATATACTTTAAAATATTGTTGTGTTTAAACACAGTATAGTGTACTGTCTTTGTATTGTTCTGAACAGCTGTTGTGCTCTTGGAAGACTGTCTTAACTCAATTACCTTATTTTAATTTGAAATGTGGTTCATTTGTGAAGAAAGTGAAAAGGAGAAATTGGAGTAATCATATCTAACACAACTCCCCTTTCTCATTTTCATAGTACTGCAATCCAAATTCCTTCTATTATATATATGTAACTGTACTTTCACTTCGTATTCACCAGAAAATCTTGCAAAAACAGCAGGACTAGATTGCTGCTCTGTAGTACCCTTCAAGTTTGTGGATAATCAGTGAGTCTGTTGGTACTTGTTACAGTCTGTTATTACACTAAAGTTATACGTTTTGATGAATTTTTCCAGAATCAGGCCAAGCAGGAAAATGTAAAAGTAACTCTTTCTGTGTTGTTATAGCCAGCTATTTGCAATTCTTAAGACTGGTAGGAAAAATGGTTAGATAAACGGGTGATAGTGTTGGAGATAGACTGAAATGTACATAATTATTTCCAACTCCTTATTTATATAAACGCACCTTGAGCAGAGAGAGAATTGTATTAAAAACTCATTTTAAACCAATTCTATTTGAACCAAAGAGGAGTAAAATTCACTCATGTAGATGACCTTCTCAGAATGAACTAAACTGAATTTTTCAGATGATTGTGTTTAAAATGCCAAGTTTATTTTGTGTTCCAAGGGAGTCATATGTCTGTGCTTCAGAATTTCAGGCTTTAAAGAAGTAAATGTACTCTGGAAGAGGCCAATACCCAGCTGCCGCATGTCAGGGTTTCTGTATTTGCAAAGTGTCTGCAACTCTGTAGCATTAATTCTAACACATTTTTTCTGTTGAAGTGGGGTGTTTGTAAATGACATTTTGATGGTTTATTCACTGACTTCACCTTGAGAACCTTTGCTGTTAGCTATTGATGCAAATGTTAAGTCTGCCAGAGCATCAGCAGGGAAGTATGTGGCAAGTTTCTGTGCTTTCTTTGCTGTCGTTTCAACAAATTGTTCAGTGCAAAACCAATGTGAAATTACCACTTAACTTTGTGCCAATTCTATTGAGTACACAGTGTGCTTCAGTTCTCTGCTGGCAGATTGGTAAAACGTGTGGCTCTCTTAACTGCTGTACAAGCTCTCCCAACTGTTTGTGAGACTTCATTTGGAAAAACCCCAGCTGATATCTGTATTCTTCCCCATAGGGAGCTGTAGCACTGAGGCTGGTGAGATTCACTTAGAATTCTTGTAAAACGAGTTTTTGGCAGAATTATAGGGAAAAGCCTTACAGCTTAACCCAGAACACCCAGCAGGTTGGTTTGCTCTATTAATTTCAAGTACTATCTTCCCAATGGGGTGCTACAGTTTGTGACTGTACTGCTTGCTAAATACCATTTTAGTCACATAGTGGGTCTGCCAGCTAGCAGCATCAGGGATGGGGTCAAAGAGGTAAGCCAGTATGCAGTCTTCAATGTGAGATGGCCCTTACATGCACTACACTTAGTGGTCATGCAGAAGAGCATGCAAGGCACTTGGGAGCACGAATTCTAGCCTTTAAGCTCGAGCTAAGGTTATCTTGGCATGTAGTCCCTCTCTTCCTCAGCGAGTGGTGTTCCAGCTGCTGATGTAAGAGTGATTTCAGCTCCCTGTCTCCTGTTGCCAAGTATACCTGCTGCTGTACAGGTAATGGTACTTTCAAACTGGAGGGGCCATTTGAAAACTATTTTTATAGTGGTAGTGTGGTGTCTTGACGCAGCTGCTCAGTTATCTGGCAAGCTTTTAAGTGTTATTTGTTCATTAACTTGTATTAGTAACTACAAAAGTCTTGCTGCCTCTGGATTTTCAGTAAGAAAAGTGCTGGTATTCTGTAGGAGTTTTGTGCAGAATGTGCTAGGGGTTATGCAAATAAAAAAAACCCTTTGAGCAGGGGTCTGAAACAGCAGAACTGAGTACTGTTATTATCCTGACTGCTCTCCTTTCGTGCTCTGATGCCCACTGTTGTACTGGTGTCTGGGGTCTTTTTGAATTTGTTTGTTCTTCTTGAATGATTAAGATTTTTTTCTTTCAGCTCACTCATGTCAGCACTTTGTATCCTTACTCATAGAGACATGGCAATCATTATTTTACTGCTTCAAAAACAACTTTTTCTGGAAAAGAATTCCTAACATTGCTCCAGTAAAGCAATAGCACTGAGAGTGGAACTGTAGCCTCTGGTACTTCATCTGAGACGTTTTTAATTGTTTGCAAAGCCTTCTTTCAATTTTTTGACTTCTGTATATCTTTTCCCTGCTTTTACCTGGAACAGTTCACAGCCTTTTCTTTGCAGTTAATAGAGAACGTTTGGATTAGCTAGCTGCTGCTGCCTTCTGAAATGCAGGAAAAAAAGACTTAGGTAATTTCAAAGCCATAGTTACCATCAATTATTACTGTTGCAAGAATTCCTTCTAATTGCCCCTCTGTGGACAGCCTGTTCCAGTGCTCTGTCACTCTGGCAGTGAAGAAATTCATCCTTGTGTTAATATGGAACTTCCTGTATTCCAGTTTCTGCACATTGGCCCTTCTACTGTTGCTCACTAATGAGAAGAGTCCGCCCCCACTGACTTGACTTCTGCACTTCAGATATCTGTGAACAGTTACGAGATCCCCTCTCAGTCTTCTCCAGATTGCAGAGCCCCTGTTCTCATCCTTTCCTCATTCTGCAGGCCCCTCATCATCTCTGTGGTCCTCTACTGGACTCCTACTTGGAGATCCTCACTTTTCTGAACTGGGGAGCCCATAACTGGACACAGTATTCCAGACGTGGCCTCACAGCACTGACTGCTGGTGAGCACCATTGGTCACAGACCTCCAACCAGAGTCTGTGCCGCTGATCAGAACCTTCTGAGCTCTGCCAGTCAGCCACTTCTCTACGCACCTCACTGTCCACTCATCTGCCCTGCACTTTCTAAGCTTTGTTACAAAGGTCTTGTGGGAGAAAAGTGTCATAAGCCTCGAAGTAGCGTCAAAAGCCTTAGGTTTGTCTACTGTCCTTTTCTGTGTTCCTCCAAGGAAAGTTTGGTTTTGTCTTCTATTCAGCCTTCAACTACCTAAAAGATACCTTAATTACCTGCACTAAATTTCCAGTATTGTGCATCCAGCTATTTTGAATTGAAAGACTTTTCTCAATTAGCGAAAAGCTAAGCAAAAAGCAAAGAATTATATGAATTGGGGTAATTTTTTCCTGCTCTTAGGCTCTCAAATCTGAAGTCTTTAGTGTGTATTGAAGGAAGAATGTTTCCTTCAAAAGATAACACCAGGCATTCCTTCTGCAGGATGGTTACTGTAATCTCGGTTGCTTTGGAGAGAAAACTTTCTAGACATTAACCTTAGGAGAAAATGATGCCCCACATGGCTTATGATGATTGATGCAATTTTCTTCTTTGGATAATAACAGAAAATAGAGTGAAATTACATATTTTATTTTGTAAGATGAGTGTAAATTTTGACATATTTTAAAGCAAGTACAACTGGTTGTTTTCCAAGCACTCACAAATCTCAGTATTTGGATAAATGGGAAAAGATGTGCAGAACTGTAAGGCAATTGAGAGGAAGAAGTTGTTTTTAAAAATTCAAGTACAAGCAATGAAGAAGAAAGAAATAATTATAATGCATCATCAAAATGCATTTGTGTATCAAAGTGCCTTTTTTTGTGTGTTGATGGTTTTTGCAGAGTTCTCAATTGCTGAGGATCCCAGATCTGTCCCTAAGATTACTGAGACAGCAGATTTGGCTCACATAAAAGGCAACCTGATGCAACAATTTGGCTTTTAATTTCTCTCTTTCCAATTTTGCTGCTGTCCTCAGGGGACTTGTAACTTATTTAAGTTATCATTACTCTCATTAATCACTGGGGTTCCAAATGGATGCAGTGCTTTTTCTGAATGCTTCCCTCTCCCCAAGAACAATGTAGGTAGTGGAAAATGGGCAGCACTGCGTAAGTAGAAAGGGAAAGCATGCTGCTAATGAAGCTTGGTAAGCTGCAGCTTTACTGTTTGCCTGTGTTGTTTGTAAAAACAAACTACTCCAGCAAAAGAATTTTCTGAAATAGTCATGTCAAATATACTTTGATCTCCAGCATAAATTAATTTGCCTGTATGAACTTCTTAATTTTCATTTCTTCTTTCTTACAGCTTAGTTGTAAGTGATGACGATGTGTGGAGAGACCAATTTTACAATGGAAATATTAAGAAAGAGAGAGGTAATGAACACATTTCAGAGTAACATGATTTACCACTGCAACTTAATTCCCCGTTGCAAAAATCAACTTTGTCACTTATGTGTAACAGAAATGTGCAATAGGCTTCATTTCATTTACTGAGATTGAAAACCTTCCTGAGAAAATCAGTCTCAAGCACATCTTAGATAAAGAAGTGAAGCCCTATGAACAGACCTGCTATGACTGCAGCATGTAGTGTAGTGTTGCACGTTTTTTTCACATGCCATTACAAAAATGATGTTGGAATCTAGGGAAAATTTCCATCATTCCACAGGCAGTACCATAATGATGGGGCACTACTGTGGCTGCACCATTGCTCCACCCTCTAAGCCTGCCCTGAAAAAGAGTGGGATGGCACAGCGTGGATTAAAATCAGAAGTATTTTACGCTGGTTCGTTCTTTGTTGCTACCTTCTGTGGGGGAGTTGTAATGTTAATGCAGTACTGGAATTTTGCTTGTGTTTGCTGGTATAGTGCATACTGCTAAACAGATGAAGGTGGAGGAGTAAAAAGTACCAATTGCTTTCCAGCAAATTAACCTTTATCATTACAGTGCATGTGTAGCGTAGTGTTGTGTGTATTCACCTGTTACATGTAGAGCATGCTTCTAGAAATACTTGTTAACTATGCACGTGTAAATTATTTGTCTATAGAAAAAACCAGCATGTAATTGATCTACTATGGGATTATTTTACGTTGCTGATACTCCATTTACATTTAAACATGTGTCTGTATTTAAGGTGCAGTAGTGCTCCGTCTTGCCAAATCGTGGTTTCGTATAGGATCCTTAGAAATCTTGGCTCATTCTGGGGAACTGGATTTACTAAGGTTTGCATTTGGTCTTTGTAGTAATTATGTTGCTTCTCCTAACAATCACATCTGTATTGGAATGCATATATGCAGTTGAAATTCAGGCATAAATTATGTAGAAAGGAAGATTGCATCACCTAGAAAGATAACCTGCTGTATTTTCACAAACGTACAAAGGTTCTGAAGACAGAAATAAAATCCCCCAGGTGTTTCTTAAGGCCTGGATCTTGTAAAATCAAAAAGCTATTATAGCTCAAATATTTCTGGTAATTGAGCATTGAGAACAGGGGAAGCTGTATGTTTTGGTAAGAGTTACACATTTAGAGAATAAGGTGTTAGTTTCTCATAGTTGTCAGTGAGGCTAAAGCAGCAGAAATCCCTCGCCCAAGTTTGTTGTATAAGCTACACCCTCCAGGCACACATACTAGGTAAAAATTTATTGCACAAGTTAAACCTCTTAGCAATATTAGCTTCTGTACATTACTTCATCTCAGGCAATTAGCATGGCAGATGTTTTGTTTTAACATTGATCATTCCTCTGTGGAAGCAATGTACTGATTGATAACAACTTGCAATAGCAGTTGTTTTTGGGTGCTTGAAAACAAGAGAGAAGTAGCAGCTGTTGCACATTGCATTAATTGGTAATTCAAGGTTACTTCCCCTTCCGTGATTCTACGCTGTCTTTCCTCACCACCTCCCCCCCTTTTTTTTTTTTTTTTTTCCTTTTTCTTTGAAATCTCACAGGAGTGTTTTGTTGTAAACCAAGAGATTGAGTTAGGGAACTGAATTTAAAATGACACAGCGCTGTTTTTTATTGTTGTTAAAGTACGTGCGAGCAATTGGTGTTAATGAGCACATACAGATCTCTTGTGCTCATACAGAACAGGGGTCCAGGGCAGCCTGATCTCTGAGGCAGTGTGTTGGTCACTCCTCTCACAGCTGGTACTCTGCTAAAGCAGTCGCAGCACGAGGAGAGTTCAGTGATTTGCTCCAACAGCCTGATTAGAATGTAAAATATTTGTGTGCACAGCCTCACAACCCTTGCCCAGGTCCAGCCCTTGCCTGGGTCACCTACCCAGTGTAGGTGGTTCTTACAGCTGCCTGTGCCAGTGGCCCTGGCTACTTCTAACAACAACAGTCCTACATAGAGCTCATAAGTGTACTAATTGCCAGCTGCTCTGCTTTAAATCTGCAAATGGAGCATCTGATAGGTATCACAGTTCTTGATGTATGTATCCCAATTTCCTTAACCTGCTGTGCGTTTAGGGGAATGGCCAGCTGTTATAGCAAGTAACCCTACTTAGTAAGAATTCAGTCATAAAATTTTCAGTGTGGAGAATTCTGACCTACAGTTGTTACTTGCAATGAAGCAGCTTTTTTTGGATCCACAAATTACTTCTTTCCTGAAGTCTGATATGATATTATGCTAAATCAGATCCCATTTGCTCTGGAAATGCAACACATGGGAATAGTTTTAACTCCATGGTAGTCTCTGGTTATAGTTATAACTAGAACATTAGGTTGCATTTCTAAATATTTGGAAGGGCTTAATCCAAAACTAAATAGATAAATAGTAAATAGATAAATAGTAAATAGATGGCATTTTCTAATGCCTGCTTGCAGCAGGCCGTAGGTCAGCATCTGATTATTAAGAAATAAGAGTTCTGAATGCTCAATTCTCAAAGTTATTCTCAATTCTAAATTCTAAAATTTTTCTTTAATGAATTCTGCATCTCATGTTACAGGAAGTTGCTGGACTTCATCATCCAGGAACATTTTCCATCAATAGTCCCCAACAATTCAGACAGGTATCTGGTAAGTATTTTTGAAAGCTAGTTTTGTTTCCCACAAGCTAGTGAGCAAAGCACTGTGCAGAGCTTTGCAAAGTTTGCAGCTTTATAAAGTTTCAACATCTGAAATAATCTTTCAGGTTTTATTAATAAATCATTTACTCTTTGGTTGAAAAACAAAACAAGAAACTGCTTTTTTTTTTTCAAAATCCAGTTGAGCATTCCTTTTTCACCACTTCTGATTATGGATGTGTTTAATGGGAAGCTTCCATTTTCCATTACTTTTTGTTGTCTTGCTGCTCAGACTTTTAAATGAGCAATGGTTACAATGTGATGAATTAGGTTTTTCCTAATGTAGAGCTAGTATGTATCATGTGTTTGTTCCGTATTAAGACTTCTACACTTTTTTTAGTGTATCCACATGTACGTAACTGTGTTCTTTAGTGCATCTGTGTGCATTTATGTAACAACAGTCTCTGCTGAATGAAGCCATTTTGTAGTCACATCATTTAGGTTGTGAGCGAATGATCCCAGTTGGCAGAGATCACAGATGCACATTTAAAAACAGAATTGTACAAAGTATTTCTGACGTAAATCAAATGTTTATGTTGCTTATTGTATTCTGTAGTTTTATGTGAAGTAAAACGTGTATTTGATTTTAGGAATTTTTCTCTACAGTCGTATCAGAGACAGCAAATGTGATTGCATTGTGGATGTCTGTGGGTTTTGCACATGGTAAGCTGCAGTAGATATTGTCACGGTGTTGGCTTTACAGGAGTGACTCTATAATTAATTACTTAAAGATGGCTTTTATTTGTTCCTTTGTTCTGCAGTCCTTCCAACGTCCTTGCCTGCAGCAGTATCTGTTATGCATTAATACTATGCGATTCTTTTCATAACAGAGTTGAGAAAAATTCCTGATCTTTTCCGTCTGACTTTAACTGGCAGGAACAAAGAACACAGCCAGAGCATGGGTTTTCCAGTATTGCCGTGATTATCTTGATGTGCAAAGATGTGTGAGTTTAATTGCTCAGGATTTGATGCATCTATATAAGAACCTGTCCTTTTACAGTGGATGTTCTGTGTAGGATAGAGTGCTGCCCACCCTGGTTTCAGGTTTGTATTATGAAAAATAAAGTAGCACCGTGTTGCTAATACAGCACACGGTCCACGTGCAAAGAAACTTAACTGAGGGACTGTGCAAGATGCTGTTCCAACACTGTGTCACACTGAATGGAAGAGGAAAGAGTGCCATCTAGGTATGGACAGCAGATGCAAGATAATATAACAAACAGTTGCTAATTTTCATACTTCATACATCTGCCAGGTCAAGAATAAAAGAGACAAGTTTGTTTTCCAGAATCTGATTTCTGCAAAGGAACTTCTCTAGTTGTCTAGATTCAGTGGATTGATTTTACAGCAAATCTAGAGTTCAGGTGGAATGTTACCTTTTGTTTCTCCTTCTTGTTTAATTGTAGGTGTGTGCAATACAGATAACTTCAGTCTGTTATCCATAACAATAGATTATGGTCCATTTGGATTTATGGACTCCTATGACCCAAGTGAGTGTGGCACTTTTTTTTTTAAATGCAATTTTTGACAAGACATAAATCACTTGTATTAGTCTGTGCAATTTCTTCTAATGTTATTAGCAAAAAAATCCCAAGAATGTGTATTGTTTGAACAGTTTTAGGGGGAAAAATATATTAAAGACCAGTTTTATAATATGCCATACAGGTTATATTTTGGTTGCTAAAAGTTGGAAAATAAATCTCACTATTAAGCCTATTTTCACAAAGAATGCTTCCTATTGCATTTCACTGATTCAATAGATGGTAGAACAGAAACCTCTAAAACTAAAAATTGCATATTGCTGTAAGCAGCCTATGGCAAAAGTTGTCTGCAACTCTGCATGCATCATGCTCTGGCTTTGCAGTCACAGCAGCTCTAAGGAAGGAAAAGAAATCAAACCTATCCTGTCATGGCATACGCATATGAAACTGAATATGTGAACTCAGTCTGGGATTGATTAATGCAAATGCAGCATATACATAAATGCATTACATTTGATTATTGTTAAAAGATCTCATCTGAGCAATGCTCAGAGCCAGTAGTGGCTACTTGTCTTGCAGTCTGTTTTCATGAGCGTGCAGCCTCAAATTAATGAAAGCTCTTGAGCACAGGTATTATTTGACTTCCGTTGTACTGAAAAAAACAGGTCTTTTCTGGCTTTAGGTCTTACATCTGGGTACCCTGTCACTTATGTAGTGCGTATTTATCTCCCAGATAAGGATTTCCATACTTAACACATCTGATATAATTTTTCCAGGAATGAAGGTGTAACAGTTGCCTATGCAGCTCAAGTATCATTCAGGTGGTCTGGGTTTTTTAAATGCATGCTTATACATGTTATTTTTTAATTGTAAATCCTTAATCTAGTTGTGCAGTTGTTTTATACTTTTTGTACTTAGTAGTAGCACTGTATGTAGTAAAAACACTGAACAAAATGTTTTTAGTATTTAATTTTTTAGAAAAACATCTGAATTTACTTTGTATTTTCAAGTTGGAAAATCCCACCTATGACATATGGAAGTTAATCTGAGAGAGATTTCTTAGGCTTGCAAATATTAGATCTTGAGTTAATCCACTGTAAATAAACAACTTTGTGATCTGAGTTTAAACATTTCAATATCTTCAGCACTTTTATTAGTTTGCTGCCTAAGTACAGAAATGAACACACATCAGTATTTTAACATTGATTGTTTATTTTAATTACTCTGTTGTGGAAGAGTAATGTTTTGTTTGAAACAGATTTTGTTCCAAACACATCCGATGATGAAGGGAGGTATAAGATAGGAAACCAGGCAAATGTTGGGCTGTTTAATCTGAACAAGCTGTTACAAGCACTGAAGCCTTTATTGGATCCCAGGCAAAAACAGCTGTAAGTAATCATTTAAATACCTAAACACTTAACTGGGAGAGATGTGAGACCATCTAATCACCATATGCATAGGGAAGAAAGAGATGAGCTTTGAAAATCTTTTTTTTTTCCTAGGTGGAAACTGGTCCTGAACTAGTTATTGGCTAGCATAAGAGGGAAGGGGAGTGTTTTCTGTTAACCACAAATAATAGCAAAATCTATCTGGAAGCCTGTCCTAGATGTCATGGGGCCCCTTCTTCCTAAGGTCCTAACATAGGACCTTTGCCTGTAGGTTCCTGTTATGGGTTTTCCTAGCGTGTTTTTTAAGGTGCTTACATATGAAGACCATCCTTCTGAAATAATGAGGTAGTGTTTCAGCATCCTTTTGTAAAGATTCCTGATGTAAATCTTCTTGTCTACAGTTTAAACTCCTGACTTCTTACTCAATATGAAAATGAAAGAAAGACTGTGGGTTTTTTTCCTTGCAACAGCTATGGATTTGTCTGTATTTGGTGTTTCCTCTCAGACTTTTTCATAACACATATCTCTTTTGATTCAGAATATCAATGTTTGTGAAATATCAGAAGTTTCCATCCTAAGTTTGCAATAGGGTTATGCCCACAGTAGAGTTGTAGTTCCAGAGAATTTAACATTCATTTTTTTTCTTTGCAGAGCTTCCCAGATTTTGGAAGAGTATGGCCAAACCTATAATGCCCGGTATGCAGGTCCAGACTCACACCCTACAGTCCCAATACTACAAACTACCATGTGACAACTTCCTTACTGTGTTGCTATTTTCAGTTTTACAGAATTGTTCAAGAGAAAACTGGGGCTTCTTGGGGACAGTGAGGATGATAACTATTTGATTGCTTTTCTTCTAAAAGTGAGTTTGTTTTGCTCATCTTGTTATCAAACATCTGAACTGATGTACTCCATTTTTAAAAGCACTGATACAAATCTCTCTGGTTCACTAGCTCATGGAAGATACAAAGGCTGATTTCACAATGACATTTCGACAGCTCAGTGAAATTACTGCAGACCAATTAAAGGAGCTCCATATTCCTGAGGTATTCATTAATACAGGCATCCCATTTTAGGAACACACAATATCAAATGAGTGAATCAGGTTGGAGAAAACCTTGAAATAATATGGAGAATGTTGTTCACTTTCCCTGGGAAGTGCCACTGTCTTTCCCTAACTTTTGACTTACTTCCGTTTATCATTGAATGGAAACTTAAAAGGCCTTTTTAGGGAGAAGAAGGAATTCGTGCGTGGAGCATGCTATGAAGATAACGAGTTACTGTTTCTTTTTCCAGTTGTGCTATAGATAATTAAATGATCTTGACCAAGTTCTGTGGTTTTTAGTCTTCTGCTAAGAAAGAAGTATAATCTGACCTGTTCTGTGAATGTGAAGCCATTGGTGATTAAAAAGTGTAGGTTTTTGAGAGGAAAGCAGAAAACAAAACAAAAAACCAACCAACCAGAAAAAGAAAAGAACAGAAATGAAAAGAGCTATATTTGTGCAATTAATCATTTGTACAGACAGTGCGAACTGTGTATGAAAGGAAGAAAGGAAGCCTCCTTCATACAGTATGGAGCCACTCAGACTATGGAAGTAGTGCCATTTTTGGCAAATGTATCTTCCCCTTTAAAGCTGCAGGCTCAAGGCCTATCAATCCTGATGCAGTTGTGACACTGCTGCTATGCTGAGGGTCGTTTGCAGCCTTCACTTGATAGAAGGTGACTTTCTTTTGTGTTCAGTTTTTTTTTTTTTCCCCATACACTTTAATGGTGCAACTCACAAATTTTGAGACCCAAACTGATGTGGTACAGCAGCAGAAATCTGATGCAGGTGAAAATTCTAATTCTTTTTTTGAAGTTTTTCAAATGAAACTGTGCTCTCATGTTGTTGATTCATTTACTTTGTTGGTAGCAAAGTACATTCTCATATTGATTTATATGTTATTAATGTTATTTTTTCAAGTGTAATCCAAAATTGATCTAAAAATGTTCAAAACCTTTGGGAACACTGCAGGCATCCTTACATTTAGTAATAATATTTGAAATTCCTGCTAAAGCAGCTGAACCCTGCACATCTTATAACAAGTGCTTGGATCCCATTCTCACCTGTTACCTGCTTCCCTGACCCTCAGCTTGTAATTAATGTAATTTTAACTCAATTGTATACTCAAATGGGGTTTTCATTATATTTTTGTACTTCCAGATGTAATTGAACCTTTGTTTCATTCTTGCTTTAAATTTCCCACACTCAACATCACTGTTACCATTTTTTTTTCTTTTTCCTTTGTTCCTTGTGTATCTGCTATTTATTTCCTTTTATCTCTGTCCATTACTTTCTAATCTGTTCTTTCTCTGATGTTTACTTTTTGCCTTTATGCTTTGGCTGCTTTCTCTCAACTGAGCAATCTGAAGCAGCTGTTCTCAGTCAGGGAAGCCCAGTTTGTGGTGGTGGTCCAGCACTGGAAGTGAGAAGCCCAAGCTGTTCTGTCTCCTTGCCTTTCTTCCCTCCTATTGTTCATAATGCTCTCCTATGCCCGGAGCCTTAAGTTGCCCTCTTTCCCCATGCTTTCTTTTTTTTTTTTTTTGTTTTTTAATCAATATCTGTTCCTTATTCTTTGTGGAAAAATAAAAGACTCTGTTCCTTATTTGCAAATACGTCTGATCCACGCACGTACAAAGAGCAGAAGAGCAGAATGTTTAAGTATTGAAAAACAAAATTGGTCAAAAGATAAGCTAAGGAAAAATAGGGGACAAGTGCTGAAGGTATTTAGGTAGAATTTGCTGTAAGAGATGGGCTAATATGGATGTCAAAACTGAGTAATTTAAATAGAGGAAAAGATGCAAGTAGAGTTTAGGGAAGAAAATTTGTTGAAGGTTCACTGTGTGTTTCTCCTTATATGCTTTCTCTGATTGCTCATTTTGGTTTTTGCTTAACAGGAATCAGGTCCTGCTTACCTGTCACTAACATTTTCTTTCCCCTTAGGAGTTCTGGGCCCTGCAGGATCTGGGAAAACACGAGTTATTTTCAGAATGGGTTGCTATGTACCTCTCACGGTTAGATGGGTGAGTCTGAAGAAGTTTCAAGTGTAAAAGTAAAACCAGCTGTGTGTTTGCCAGAAGATGGCAACTTTAGTCTGCAGTGATTCATTTGATCTTTAGTCGGACTGCTAAACTGTAATGCCTTTCTTTTTTTTGTCTTTGTGGTTTTAGATTGTGCTAGCTTCTGTAATAATTACTATTGTAACTCTGGTTTGACACAGAAGTACATAAAAATGGAAAGGGAAGAGTGGTCTGTGTTTGTTCTCCTTTGGGGAATGATTAAATTTCTTCAGTAAATAGGTTTTGTTAAAATAGGAGTCCTGTATGTTCATTCCAAGAATCAGAAAGTCAGGCTGTGCAAATGCATAGAGATGGGTACTATTTCATTGCTGACAGTGCATACTAATGTGATAGTATTGCCTTGGGATGACAGGGATGGAAGCTGGATGGCTCTGTGTATAAGGGCTGTGTTTAAACACCACAGTTACTGTGTAGATGGGGACATTCATGCTAGAACTTCCTACCAGCTCTTTTATCTTCAGTCGATCAGAAAAAATCAGTGCACTTTTCTCAGTCATATCTGCTATGCATGGCTGACAGCAGTGAAAAGTACATATCAGACACTTGGAAATTTTAGTCAGAACCCAAATTCTGAGAAGGTGGAAATTGAATTGTTGTGTGCTGATGGCTTGAGAAAGGGTTAGGAGTGACATGAAAGAGAAATGAATATACAAGTCAGTGTTTGTTGAATCATTGTGAATCAGTTGATGGAATTAGCTGCTTACTGACTCTGTTCACAACAGAAGAAAGGCTGAAAGGTGTCACGAGTAAGGAAAATCTAAGGAACTTTCACAAGTAATTCTTAAATTTTTTTTGAATTTTATTCTTATATTTAGTAACAAGGGTGATTCAGACATCAAGAGAAGAAGAAGAATGACAAGTAAGTAAAATAAGTCAAAGGAAGTAGTACACTTAGAGATGGCAACCAACTTCTTATATAGGTTTGTTGCTGGCTCTCCTGCTTGTTCCATGACTTGGTGCTTATGGACTGCATTTTTTTTTCCCTTTTGATACCTTTAAAGAACTTGAGAATTATTGGCCCATAGGAACGTGCTCACTGTATTTTGTGATGTCTCAAGTGAGGCTTTGCTCAGAAGAACATTATTCTTCTCCTGTAAAGAACCTTTGATAACATCAAGAAATGTTTTTGTAGCCATCCTGTGCTGGCTCCATGGGCTGGGATTTGTAGGAGTTTCAAACGTGTCCATATTGTTTTTGTATATTATAAAGGATTCATATTTTTGATTGATTGATTAATTTAGTGAAGCAGGGGAGAAAAACCCTCATTTAATTGGGAAAGTAGTCCTTAGAGGAAGGCATGGTTCTCAGAGATTAAATATTCTATTTTCTCCCTCCAAGTTACTTTAAATCCAAAATGGTAAAGATGCATAGGTGTCTTCACAACAGAAACAGTGGTTATGAAATTGGACTTTTTTTTGTTGGTCTGCAATTATCTGAGGTAAATTTGTGTGATTTGCCTACCACAGTGAGCAACTGAAAATCTCTGGACAAAAGAGAGTGAAGCCAAAAGGGGGATCTGCCAAATTGTGCATAAGAGGCTGTATGAGCTTTACTGTCATACTGCTGTGCAGGTGCTTTATTTGCATCTCTAGCAGAAATGGCTCTCCTTTCTCATCAGGTATTGATTGGCTGATTTGTTCAGAAGCTTGAATTGATTTAGCTGGAAGAGGCAGGAGATGGTGCCAAGTTTCAACAATAAGATAGGTTTTCAAATTAATGTTCCATCTGTTTTTAAGAATTTAAGAAAGTTGATATGAGAATAGTTACCTTTAGGGCTTGTTTTACTGGTTGTGTTCTGGTATGGTTGGGAAGTTTCAGCTGAGACCCTGAGGCTGTTCACTCAGCTACTGTTTTGAAGTTCCCAGCTTTCCTCACCTAAAATTTAAGGCTGGGAACTGTCTAAACACAGTTTTTCAATGCTTGCTATGTTTCTATGTTTTTGTGTATCTGCTTTTACAGAGGACTGGCATTCCAGTTGTTGGAATGTTCCAAATCAGAAAAGCTCCCAGTCTGGGGATGATCTTCTGTAAACCAGCACTGTGTTTTCCACACACATCTCAGAGGATGTTATGGGATAGGAGGCAGACAAAGAAGGGGGAGGTTTTGAAGGTTTTGGTCTCAGCTTTGTTAGAGACCAAAATTGGATATGTGAAGATTCGTGGATGAATTAGCTGTGTTCTGTGTAACTGGCCATGTTCCTGCAGCACAGCTAGCAGAGCTTACTAACGGGATACTGAGAGCAATTTGTTGTTTTCTATAAAATTGTATTTTTAAACAAAGATCAACACACTTTGTAACGTTTCTGCTAGCTTCTAAGTATTAAAGTGTGAGTGAAGGTTCTTCACCCTGCTGTGACCCCTCCCATGAAATCCTTGCCATATAAGCCCAATACAACTGTGCATTTTTACACAACAATTAATGTTAAAAACAAAACTGTCAAGCTTTTCTCTGGATTTTTATATGAGGTTTTTAAGTCCCACTAAATTTTTTATTGCTGTTCTAACTATTGGCTGCCCTTGAACGTTTTGTCATTAACAGCTCTCTATTCATTGCTTTTCCCTTGTTATTACTAAGTGTAGAGGAATATCTTCAAATGCTTCAAGGTAATGTGCTTTAAATTGATCACATATCATGATCTTTATTTTTTTTTCTCCCTTGACTTGGTTTCCAGTTCTTCATAGCACTTTGTCTTGCATTGCGTAGCCTCAGCTCCTTTAGGAGTTGATGAAAAAATTTTGACAATCTAAATCCCAATAAAGTCTGTCACTGTATTTCCTTATAAAAGCAATATGTTAAAAAAGAAAAAAAGAGGAAAAAAATTGTAGACCACGTCATAAAACACGTGAAAGGGCACAAATTTTCTTATATTTTGTCCTTTTCTTATCTGGCTCTTCTTATTCTTTCAAAGTTATCTCGTCTCTTGTGTTAGTTACAGATATTTTTAACTCCACTGTGAAACTTGTCAATTTGCAGTTTCTAAGATAATATTTCTGGGACAAATACTCCTGCTGGTATGAGTCATGGCTTTAATGTGGATTATCATTTTTGTATGAGTCACGTTAAATTATCCTCCTCCTTAATATTCTTTTATATTGTTCTCATACTTAACTGAAAACCATTTACTGGATTAAATAAAATTCTCAGCCACAGCAAATTATTTTACCAAGTGGTAACAAAAGATTATTTTTTTTAGTGGTTAGGGCAGGGTGTTGTTACAACTGTGTAGGAGTGATTGAGATTCCCAACAACCAGTCCTATTTGTTGGTTTTCATTTAATTTATGTAAGTCCATGTAGCACAATGTGCGTGCTGATGTGAAGAAGAATTCCTGTATTTGAATGGACTGTGTTTCAGTCTTAACTCTCAAGGAAGTTAGGACCTGAACATGGAATCATAGACTCGTTTGAGTTGGAAAGGACTCTTAAAGGCCATGGGGTCCAACCCCCCAGCAATGAACAGGGACACCTACACTGAATCGGGTCCTCAGAGCCCTGTCCAGCCTGACCTTGAGTGTCTCCAGAGATGGGGCATCCATCACCTCTCTGGGGAACTTGTCATCACCCTTTGTGTAAAAAACTTCTTCCTTATATTCAGTCTGAACATCCCTTAGTCCCAGCATATCATTATGTGACTTGGGCAGCCTGTGTAATGGAGGAATGTTCCTTTTGTCTGGCTTTGTGCTGGTGGAGATGGAGTGCATCTGGTTTTAGCCCACATTCTTGTTTTGTGAAAGAGCTTCACCTCTATTTTAGCAGGACCACGAGTGGTCAGAGTTCAGTACTTACAGAAGAAAGTGATTTCTGTCCTTTACTTTTTTAAATGACGTAAAGACACACACTGCTGTATCTCAAATCTGGTGGCTCAAAATGGCTGCCATTCAGTTCCAAACATAAAGAATTTAGTTGTATTGCGATACATAAAATAATCACTAAGTGTTGTTTTGCTGATTAGATAGCTTCAGTAAATTCTAGTTTGTTAGCTGGTTAAATGGAGCATTCTTTAGAGGCTGTGTGTATTACAGAGAAGTCTTTGCTGTGCTCAGCACTGACTGTCTGCAGGGGGCTATGGAACATGAATTGAGTCCTGTGCTTGTCTGACCACCGAGCTTTTGGAGGAGTGAGGCCACACTTTTTCTCAAATGCGTCAGTTATTTGGGTAGTCAACAAGGATGAAGCAGTACAAGGAGATGCAAGTGGGCTGCTTTCCCAATTCCTTTTCTCCTGTGCTGGAGAGACAAAAAGAGGTGGATTGAGATAAAGACAACGTTAACAGGTACAGTGAAAGTGGCAAAGCAAAATAAAAAGATCATTTGCTTCTTCCCTTTAGCAGGCAGATGTTCAGCCACCAGGAAAGCAGGAATATTAGTATTTGTTTTTTTGATCTCCAGGAATATAGTGGCAACATCAAAATCTGCTTTCCAGCAGTGTGGCAGGAATGTAAGCTGTGGCAAACAAAACGCTTTAGAGAAGCTGCTGGAGCTCGTAGCAGGGAAGCCTCTTTGAATCACTCTGATGTTCTACTTTTTGTTTTACATGTGGGTGATGTGACTTCGGCATTGCTCCTTGTGCAAATTAAAAAGTTATTTTTAGCAGCTCACAGATAAATACATTCATTCTTTTTTCCTTTTTATGCAGTTTTTTTTTTTATCAGCAAATTAAATCTCCCTGAAGGTTTCAATGACATTTGCAATGATTGTGATTTGCTTCTGTTGATTTTTGCTAACTAAATTTAACATGATTTACTTTTGGTTTCAGCTGTTAATCCTAGATACGTGCTTAGGAATTGGATGGCAGAATCAGCAGTGCAGAAAGCTAACCTGAATGATTTTTCAGAGGTAAAATTAGTCCGCTTTTTTTCTGGAGATATCAGCTAATAATTGACATAGAATCGTATCATAGAATACCTGGGTTGAAAAGGACCACAATGACCATCTAGTTTCAGCCCCCTGCTCTGTGCAGGGTCACCAACCAGCAGGCCTGGCTGCCCAGAGCCACATCCAGCCTGGCCTTGAATGCCTCCAGGGATGGGGCATCCACAACCTCCTTGGGCAGCCTGTTCCAGTGCGTCACCACCCTCTATGTGAAAAACTTCCTCCTGGTACCTAACCTGAATCTCCCCTGTCTGAGTTTAAAACCATTCCCCCTTGTCCTAATGTCTGTGAATGTTAATGAAAAGGCGGTTGCATTTGCTCATTGAATGCATAGTACACCATGGCCAACATTGTTTTATGTCCTAACGATAACTTATTATTAATACTATTGCTAATATTAGCAATATGAGGAGTGTTAATTAAATTGTTTACCATAATAACGGCAGCACTACTCATAGCAATCAACTCGTGGAATTGTTTCTGGAGCAAGGAGGGTGCATAATGTGAGGTGGCAGAGACTGCTCGGATTTGCAGGAAAACGTTTTGTATAAAAACATGCCCAATTTAATTGCTTCTAGGCTCAGCTCCTGCAGCAGGTCTTACAGCGTCCCTTCCAGAGGCAGCAGGCTGCAGAGAAGGCAGGCTATGCCCTGCGCCCGCCCGCTTGGGCCAGGGGTCTTAAAGTGAGCTGCTCGTCCTGAGGGAAGCTTGAACAAGGAGAACTGTCGGACTTCAGACCTTCTGATGGGAGCGAGGAAGCCGCACTCCCTCGTGCATTGTGGACTGGAATCTGCTGCTCTGCTAGACAACTTCTTGACCAACTTTATAAAGTCTAAAGATTAAAGAAATGGACCCTGTGTGTTTGCATCAACAAATTGCTCCGGTGTTTGTGGCCGTCTTGGGAGTGACTTACCCAAAGTACCTTCGCCAGAGACAGGTGTGTGCTAAGCCTGCTGCTCTGCTCTCGTTCTCCGTTCCTCTCTTCTTTCTTCATATGAGGGAGATGATAGGTGCATGGATAGAATGACTCAGGGAATTTTCACAGGTGGCACATGGAAATGGGCTTCCTTGCAAGTATCCTGTTACGTGTATTCTCAGGTTCATACACCTTTTGTACTCAGCTTCCTGCTGATCTGACAAACGTATTTCCAAGCTGTTACTTAGCAGCATACCTTGAATTCTAACAGCAGGGCTCATCTTTGTTTTAGTCCAGTGTCTGTCTGACATTGCAATTCCAGATCATGAAACTAAGTGTATAAATTAAAACAAAATTAATATATAAGCAATCAGGTGCAGTGTAATGCTACAAGGCTTATAGCAAAATTCGCTTATCTGGGGCTTTGTTACTTCTTGATGCTATCTCAGCTCTTCCCAGTTCCAAAATGGATTGTTTTAGAAGATCCAACTGTCCTCACTGCTGCTTGCATCTGAAATGAAGGCTGTGCTATGATTAGCAATTCATAAATCTGGTTTCTATACAAATATAATTAGCCAGGGAAAAATATATTATTAGAAATATTCCACTGACTAAAAAAAATATACAAATGTGTTTGCTTCTTAAGTACAGTCAACACAGTTATTTGGGATGTTTTTTCCTTGGCTATATGGTTGCTCAGCCTGAGTTAACTCCTTTTGCAAGCAGTAAGTGCTCTTCTGCAACAGCTGGGATGAGCATTTGAGGCAGCACTACCCCAGCTAAGAGCAGTGGGCTGGTGGGAGCTCCTGTAGGAGCCCTGCTGCAGCTGGTGGCATTCACAGCCGGAGGGAACACTGCTGCTGATAGCTGTTCTACAGGAATTTGAAAATGAAATGAAAGGAATTTGAAATTGAAAATACCAGTGAAATGGTATCTTGACTGTTCTGCTTTCATAAAAATCACCTGAACTGTTGCAGGTAATCACGCTGCCATAGGGTATTTTGCAAGACCATGACAATTTCTAAGTCCTAACTACACTGAATCTCTTCTGCTCTTCTTGTCTCTCTCAAAGAGAATGCACATTTCCCAGTTAGTATGAGGCTGTTAATGGTAACTCGTAAATAAGAGTTTGGTACTTTTTCACTGAGAGGGCAGTAAGGCACTGGCACTGCTGCTCAGAGGAGCTGTGGGTGTCACATCCCTGGAAGAGCTCCAGGTTGGATGGGGCACTGGGCAGCAGCATCTGCTGGGGATCAGCCCTGCCCATGGCAGGAGGTGAAACCGGATGGGCTGTAAGGTCCTGTCCAGCCCAACTGTTCTGTCATTCTCTGATTGAGACTTGTGCCACATGATCATCTTAAGTTTCTATTTTTTTCTCAAAGTGCATGAAAAAGAACACTTGAAAAACACATGAAATTATCTCAACGCTACCACAGAGAAGTGAGCCCACATCTTGCTCAGAATTTTGTACCACCTGACTTTCTATATCTGGGTTTTAATTCATGGTGGTTAGTGATTACAGTGTAAGTGTTAATACTGGGTTTCCTGACATACTTCCTGAAATTCTTACATTGGCTTTTGCATGATGCTCTGGAGCTGCCTCTTGCTTCACATTATGTAAACATGACAGTGATGCAGAAGCAGATGGGGAGTAGCAGTACTGAGGCTGGCTGAGGTGTTTGTGCTGTCCTTTCCACACCAGAGGGCTGCCAGGAGATTCAGCAGCGGTGAGCCTCACATGCAGACATCGATCTCTGGAGTTTTGTGTAGGCTTTCATTCTTCTTGTTTTGAAGACAGCTCAACTGGTTTTCCTTGTGAAGTGTTAAGATGTGGGTTGTGATTGACTGAGAATGTGAAATGTATAAAATTGAGTTTATTGTGCTGAAGCAAAAGAAAAAGGAGGAAATGGGGCAGGAGGCTGAGTGTTCTTGGGAGAAGAGTGAATGCTGGGAAAGCTGTGTGAAAATCTCAGTGCTCTGTCAACAGGGAAAGTGGCTTTTTGTGCAGCCATGTTTAAGTTGACACTGAGTATATTTTTCATAAGAGAAAATTCATTTGGTTTAAAAGTGGTTGGATAGCAGACAGCTGTTCTCCTGTCTGAATCAAACCTCTGTACTCTCAATAACTGGGCACAAAACCCCCAGCCCCTCTGCATCTAGTGGTTCTGCAGAATGTTCATACCAGTTAGATATGGAAAACAAATGAGAGATATGGATCCTATGTTGTTATTTTAACCCTTAATTTTAATCCTCCTCCTTTTAGTCAGTGGGTAGGTGAGCCCTGTTTAAACTGCTCATGTATCCCCACATGGTGCCCTGGCAGTCTGTACCCAATCCACCCGTCTGTGCAGGAACACATCCAGCTCTGTGCGTGAGACAGACTGGGAGAAACAGAAGTAGGGGACCAAAAAGGGAGAGGCAAAAACTCCCTGCAAGGAATCAAATCCAGGTAATTAACTGCCACGCTGCAGTTACAAAACAGAAGCTATTTTTATTTAAGCGCTAAGAGTGACTGCTATCTAAATGAACAATAGAGAATTGAAGTGGAGAACAAAGGGGAAAAAAGTAGGAAGAGATGTATTCATCTCAGGTATGAGATAAAGTCTTTATGAAGACAGACGACTCTTAGGTACACTTTGAAGACAAATGTTAACGAAGAGATGACAACCTTGCTACTGGGGGGATGCAATGGTTTGAGGTAAGAATTTTTCTTTATTGAAAATTAATCAAATAAATGAAATTTAAAGGCAGCAACAGGGGAGGGAAAAAATTCTTTTTTTTATCTTTTTTATTTAAAGACAGGCTGCTTTTGGGGCACATAAGGGCGGGGGGGGGGTATCTTTTGATTGTGAAAATAAAATAGTGTGGGGTTTTCTAAAAGAGAACCCTTAAGGGGAAATCTGTTAAAAGGGACGATCCCACTTCTTAGGCACAAGACTGCTGTTGTGTGGTTTCCTTTGGTTCTAATTCTACAGAAGAGGAGCCACAGAAGTATGCAACTCACTGGCCAGCACTGAGTGCTGCTCCACCACACGATGGAGTAGAAAGAGGCTGCAGCCAATTTCTGACATCCTGCTGCTGGGGGGTCATTAGGGTGTGTGGGGTGAGGAAGGAGCAGGTTGTGGGGAAAAGTGGGGGGCAGAGGGCACCTCCTCACTTCTTGGAGCCCCCAGGGGGAACTCTCAGAGAATTCCTCTGGTGGTAGGGCCTGATCCAGCACGACCTTCGGTGATGCAACAGCAGCTCTGGCTTAAAGTCCACCTGTCCTCACATCAGGAGCTGCCGCCCCTTTTCTTCTCAAGAGCTTTCATTAGGTCAGACATGAAATCTGCTTGCCTGCCTCCACCCCCGATCTGAGGCTGAGGCGGCCCAGCTGCTCTCGGCTCTCCGTCTTGTACCGCGTTCCCTTGCCTTTTTGGGGGAAGCAGCACGGGTTTCTTTGTCAGAGCTGGAGGCTTATTGGAGACGGGTGGAGGCGGAGGGGGTGGCGGCAGGTCTGCATTGCTGCTGCTGATGGATGGGGGTGGCGGCGGAGGCACAAAATCAGGAGGAGGTTCACAGAGGTCAGCTGGTGCTGGCGGTGGTGGCAAATTGAGCATCAGGGAAGGCGGTGGTGCTGGAAAGCTTTCTGGGTCTGTTAGGAAAATACCGCTGTCCCGTTTCACTTTGGAGGGTAGGACTGGTGAAGCACTAACAGCCGATGACCGCCGTTCAGGTGGAGGAGGAGGCTGCAGCGAGTTCCTCTTATTCAGCTGTTTGTGCCTCAGTGCTGGCGGTGCCAGGCCGGCTGCACTGATGTCATTTGCCTTAAGCAGAAGGAATAAAAGAACAAAGTCAGTGGGTGTGTAAACTAATGGCACTGCCCAGACAGGGAAAGGAGGCACATTTTGCCTGAGGAATGCAAATCGTGCTTTGTTCCCCTTTCGGGAGTTGCCCACAGAGCTCTGGCAGTGGAAACCTCCATGTTTAGGGCAGCACACACTGTGTTTCTTTGAATGTTGTCCTTAGAAAATTAGTGCTTTTAAATTTTGAAAGAATTGCAGTTAGTGAGACATAAAAATACTTTTTCAATGTTCCCCACGGCTGTTCCTTCTCTGAGAACATGAAAACCTTAAAGAAAATTCTGTGGTGGTTTTTTTTTTACATCCTGGGGAATACCAAACAAGATTTGAGGACATAAAAAGCAGATACAGCTTTATTTCTTGTCAGCACTGTACTACCATTTCCTGTTCTAACTGTGACTGTGGAGTCTCTGGATAAAGTTAAAAACATGAAGCCACCTCTCTGTACCAAACTCATTGCACACAACAGGAGTGGAAGGGGAGGAAGGTGGACATACCTGGGATTTCAAGGTTCCTGTGTCCAGATTCACAGTGCCCATCACTGCGAGCACGGTGTGACAGGCACCCACCTGCAGAGCACTGCACCTCTGTGCAGGAGAGAGTACTGCAGAGTGCTTGTGAAAGCTGCCTGCATCAGCTCTGTGCATGGCTATAGTGAAGGACTCCAGTGGGGAGCAGGCAAGGGGCTGGGAAGGGCTGGGCAAAACACTCACACTCTCCTTCCAAAAGCAGCCAAATTGTCCCTGAGGCCACTGGGTTCCAGCCGTGTTCGCAAGGTCAAATGCTCCAATAACTTTTTAAAGTAAAAAACGAATCAAACCATCCATCACACAAGTAAGGAAAAAACAGAATAGCTGCTTGTTATGGTTATGTTTGTTTTGGCAAATTATGATGTAGATTTTCTTTTAAATTGTGTTTGCTAGTTAACATTGAAGATAAATAAAGCCTTGGCAATATAAATAATATATAAATAATTGGCAATATCTGAACATAATTTTCTCTCTGATTTTTTTAGGTGGCAGTCAGTAGCTGTTGACAGTTACTATACAAACATGCTGTCTACTCTTGTAAACCTGGGGAGAAGTGTGCT